CGCAAGAGGCAACGGAAACTCGCACTGGTAAGAGAGAGCCAGCACGAAATAAATTTTTCTACGTTGGCCACATTATCACACACTAATACTAAGTAATACAAGCCACTGGCATGACTAGCTAATTTTGTTGGCCAACAGAGTCGGAGTCTTCATTTGCTGTGTGAGGGTATGTCTGTGTGTGTGTAACGTTTCCTTGTGGGCTCCTTTCATGCAGCGAAACAGAACTGGATAAGTAGTTAAATAATGAAATTACACAGGCTGTATAAGAAGAAGATAACCAAATATTTTCATTCTTTAGAATATTTTTTGAGAGAGAAAATGTTAAATGTATTTAAAACGACATAAGTTATATATTCTTCTTTGATAATTTGTAATCAGAACGTTAATTTTTATCATTGTTAATAGTCTTTTATTAGCTTCCGTTGAATTTATTACATAAAAAATACAGTTCGAGCGAAATTATTTGTACCTCTGTTAATCCTTATGCTAAGGAGTTTATCTTATACCTCCAAAATCCGGGAATTACAAGGTATTTAAGAGCCAAGCAAACTACAAATGTATCGCACTAACTTTTACTCGTATAACAAGAAGGTTAAGAGAAGAAACAGACTACTTTCAACGAACTTGTTAAATAAATATATGTAATGAAATAAAATAAGATAATGTGCATACATTTTCCTTGATGAAAATAAATAAATAGAACAATTTTTGGTATATTTATATGTGAGTTCTTATAGACTCTAAGCTCGGTTTGACACACATCGGGGTTAGTCATTTAGAAACAAAGAAAAAAGTTTTTTACTATAAAAAATGTATTTATAATTAGAATTTGGTGTGTTGTTTTTCACTTCTAGCTAAATTCATTCCCAAGGAAAATATATTCCAACACGTGGCAAAGTGTGCCAGATGCAGTCAAGAGATCATACCAAGGCCAACAACAGAGTCGAAATAAAAATAAAATAAATAGAAAATAATTTTCTGTACTGAGGACAACCAACATATTTCACATTTGTTTGCTTGCGTCGTTATGTGGTATGTGTGTTAATTTTTCATACTATTTTCGGCTCAAATATTTTTATAAGCCACACATTCGCGTGGCATTTCCCACCAGCCCCAAATGCCACGCCCAACTTAAATCCGCTGCCAAATGCCCGCTGCCATGCGAGCCTGAAGCTATTTTTAGGCCAAAAAGACATAGGGTTTTTTTTGGCTGGGCAAAAGACACGCGAGCTGGTAGCTCCATTGCATATGCACATGCAAACAGTGCAACACCCAGGAGAGGCAAATGGAAGCATATGCGCTTCACAGTGGCAACAACAAGGACAACAAAGACAACATTGGGCCTTAACAGAGCGACATATGCGTTCTATCAACAAAAAATCAATCAAAAAGTCAGTAAATAAATACATACATATATGTACATATGCATGCATGCGTCTTTGTATGTATGCATGTATGCATGCATGCATGTAAATTTGCATGTAAGCATGCATGCATGCATGTATGTACGTGCGCATGTGTGTCGGCATGCATGTATGTATGTAATTATGTGTGTATGTATATGTGGTATATACTTATGAATTCTTGTATGAATGTATGCATGTTTATATGTCTGTATATAATCATCTATGTTTGTAAGCATGTTTGTATGTATGCATGTATTAATCATGCATGTATCTAGGCACATGTACAGTAAAATCTTGGATAGTGAACGTTGGGAAAATGATTGGCCGCTACAGAGAGATCCGCCTAATAGAGAGGAAATTGGTGCTGCCTAATTTATACAATTTTTTAAACTTAAATTCATCAATCCCACTTTTAGATGCATATTACGTTTACTTTAAAGGTTATTTATCAAACGTAAAAATTATTTCATAATTTTTGTGTGTGTGAGTGTGTGTGTGTATAGCGCCTGTTAATCGAGCCAAGCACATGTGCATTCTAAATGAGTGCACAGTTATAGCCCACATTATAAAAAATGCAAAATTTTAATCGAAATATAGTGTAACGACTACAACGAACAATTGGAACAACAACGTGCACCAACAGCAAAAATAGAATCCAATGCACCGCGCACAATATACCACATTCAAAGTCCTATTAGCGATGCAGCAAAACAGATAACCATATACGCTGAAATATAAATGCGGTCACAGCACACGCACACACACGAGTGCAGAACGGGGTAGAGGCCAGAAGCCACAAAGCTAAAAGCCAATTGCACTGCTGCAGGACTTTGGGCCAAGTGACTGCCCGCCCCCCATTTCCTTTTCCCATCCCCTCCCACGCATTCTTAAACGCGCCTGAGGCGACCAGCGGGCAGCACAAATCGTAACGTGAAAAGCCACGCTGCAGTGTTTTCCCATTTGACCATTTTTCATTTAACTTAATTGGCAAAACATTGAGGTGTGCAATCTAAACTAAAAGAAAAACAACAACAAGAACATTGTTGTTCAGTGTGCTCGACTACAAAATCACCTGCACACCTCAGTCTTTATAATATATGGGACCACGTTTATAATTCTTCAAATCATAAAATATTTTGAAATTCCGAAATGCATATTCAGGTCCAAGTCAAAAATGGATTTTTACCGATGATTTGGAAATAACAAAAGATATCTACAAAAAATTAAATAAACTTATTTTGCGTATATTATTGGGGAATATATATTTAGATACAAATCGATTCAGATAGTCGTCCAGATCAAGAATAGAGGGTCGGATATGCCACCTTCTGCCTATTACACAAACCCATTATACCCTTTATCACTAATTTTTAATGACTTCAGAATATTACAAGTAAGAGTGATCTAGTCCGGCATATTCGACTAGAAGATACTTTGCAGCCAGCGCAAGCCGTCCTTACAAATATTCTAGCTTTCTTCTTTATGACTTTGCCTCTTCTTTCCATGGAACTTCTTGATAAAGTTCGGTGTTTACGATTCAAATCTCCTGAAATTTCCTGGCCTTATTTAAAGCCCAAAATAATTGGCATTTATTTCTAGTTGATTCAAGATATTCAAGATTTCATCGCAGCTGTATGATATAGCAATGCCATTCGACCGATTTTGACATATTAACTGGCATAGAAAGACTAGTTTTTTTACTAATATATATACGGACTGACGGACGGGTCTATATCGACTCGACTGTTTGACTGTTGGACTAAAACCAACATAAGTTGTGCTCCAACTATTGTATTTATATTGTACCCCAAAGTTTTCAGTAGAACATTCTAATATAAATCAAAATTAAAATTGCTTTAATAAAATTTTAAAATTAAATATCAAACCAGGTTATCGAGCCGAACCTTTAGGGCCTGAACCGAACCATTGACTAGAGCTTTTGAATATTAAGTTAGTTGACTCTAAGACTGTAGCAGTGACTTTAAAACTGTAATTTTCAATATATATATATACATGCAGTTGTAAATGAGAAAGAAGGATATTGCTATAGAAAGGATATTCTCCATTACTGTCTCGATCTTTAGACAAGCTTTTCAGTAGGCAAACTTTCAAATCTAACTTAACTTCTGTAGGTATAGATTTCCGTTATAGACTGACAGTCAACAAGAGGGACATGGCACAAGCCAATATACTCATTTTTAACAATGTACACAGGGTGTTGAAAGCAACTTTAATAATTGACCAAATGTAAGTTTTTCTTGCCGAGCTTGGTTTAAATACTAATTGCCGCCTTGCTGGCTTTGCAAATGTCAAGATGTTTAACGCTTAGCGTGTGGCTTCTAGTACATTGCTCCGTCCAGCTGCCACGTAATTAGACCCGGTCATGACTAATTATGATTGGCAAAACGCCACCAAAAAATGTGCATGATATATCCACCCAGCCTCATTTATATTAACACCTGAATGTATATAAGAGCAAAGCCTAGCGTGAATAAGCCATGAAATTATATTTTACCACTGTGATTAGACATGGATCATATACACATATTATCAAAGAATAATTATTAACCACAGAGAGAAGAAAGAGAGGAGAGTACTATAGTCTAGTACTCTAGTAACCCAGCTCCAAGCTGCCATTCAATATATTTTAACTTCCTATACGCATGCCGCTTGTGCGAATATACTTCTTCTTCCCTGAGACCCACACTATGGTAACTACGGTGTTTATAGTCTGAACTTTCTGAAATTTATAGGGAATAAATTTGTCATCAATATATGTATAAATACCGAATGCCAAAACTTATCCACCAAAATTGCGGATTTTGTAAACTTAAGTGGGAAAGTGGCGAGGTATCTAAAAAGTGCATTGTTCTAGATCCGCGTACACTGTAAGATATCATCAATCCGAATTTCGTTATCTGTAGCTTTTATAATAATATTTAATGTAAACGATATTTTTAAGCGCTAAAATTTAAAAAATTTCAAACTTCTCGCTCTTGATTGAATACCGAATATACACATTGAAGAAGCCTTCTCCTGTTTCTTACATAGATTGTCACAAAACCGGCATACCTTATTGTCGGGGTATGAAAAATATATTGTTAAGAAGAGCTCCAAATCATTTTATTACAATAATATAAATACGGAACTTGAATGCTTAAACATGTTTTAGAACCGAACGTTATTATCGTACGTAAATACTGCACTCCAAGCTCTTAAATTGAGCATAACTTTTAGCCCAACTGTTATTAATAATTATTAACTATTTTTTAACTACTATGAAAGCAAACTTAGAGAGAGCGAGAGCGAGAGAGTGAGAGCGCGATTAAAGCGGAACACAGTTTGAAAGCATCTGGATATCAGCTGAGATTGATCGATACTGATCTTATTTTTCTAATCTCTTCCGTCACATAATTCGCCTATCTGAGTGTCTTTTGTTTAGTTGTTTTCATCGCTTTGCCAAAACCGTTGCATATTTTGTAAAGATAAGCGGAGAGTCGAGCGCCTGAGGTCTGATTAACGAGTAGAGAAATCGTGACAAATTGCAAATTATTATGCATTTCTCACAAGTGAACCGCCCTTCAGTTAGTTGTTGCAGTTCGTAGCGCAACGTTCGTCTCTCGGTTCCGTTTCAGTATTAAATGCTTAACAAATTTCACGCCTAAATGGTGCAAAAATCATGGAATCTGCCCAATGTAGGCAGCTTGGAGCCGGGCCCGGCCGGTGCACCGTGTCGCCTATTGGGCTCGGTGCGTCTCACCTACACGCTGTGCGCCTTTCTCACCAATGTCCTGCACATGGGCATGCGCAATATGCTTGGCCTGATCATATTACGCATGGTGAAGGCGCATTCGGAGGATGCACTGCTTCAGGCTGCTGCTTCCCATAAGCTGGACAATGTTACTGTCACGCCCAGCTGTGGCAGCGGCGTGTGGCAGCAACACAGTTACGATGTTGTCCAGGCAAGTTTGGCTGGCATTTGATTGTCCTAACTCTGACACTTTTTCGATTTGCAGTCGGGCGATCTGCCCTGGAGCCGCAGCCAGGCGCTTACATTTCCCGGCGTATTTTACTATGGCTACGTTATTGCCCTGCCACTGGCTGGACGCCTGACCGATCGTTTTGGTGGCAAAATGCTGTTTATTAACTCGCTGACGCTGCAAGCCTTAGCATACATTGTGCTACCCTCGATGGCTTATTATAGCTATGCCGCTGCTGTCACTACTTTGGTACTTTCCGGCATTTTTGCGGTGAGCCTATACATAATATATAAAACTGTGCGTCGTGATTGATCGACTGATTGATAAGAGCTAGGAAACTTTAGAGAATTTCACTTGCATCTGTAGAAATTTGCTGAAAGATTATCCGATCGCCGTCAAACTAGTTTTTAAAGTTTTTTCTGAAAATAGATTTCAGACGTGCTTTGTACTTTTCGCAGCAAACAACCCTTTCCTGGGTGAAAAATGTAGGCCAATAGTTAGATAAACGAAGTTTCGGGTTCAAGATCGTTTTTGTGAAAAAAAAAAACAATGAAATGTTTCACACTTTTCACAAAATCCATTCCTCTTTTGTGGAAACGGTGGACAGAGATTTTGTGGGTAACGTTTCGGGCTGAAACTCTTATCAAATGGGGCGAAGTTTCAAATTTAACTTATTAATTTCCAAGATTTACAATAAATACGTTTGTTTCGCCGTTTTTGAAAATATCATCCACCACAGTGGAAAATTGGCAGAAAACGCTTCTTAAAACTTTTGTACCTTCCCATCAACATATTTATGCGATTATCGAAGATTTATGGGATATGTTTTAAGCTTTCCGAAAAATGGATCAATGTGGAAGTTTGGCGTCTTTAATTTGAAGTTTCTTTCTTCTAGTTGTTAAGCTTTTGTCATGCACAGGGCACACGCACGTCAAAGCTTCGACAGCTTTAAGCTCTTGAGTGCAACACACGCATACTTGCCTAAACGCCCACTAATACATATGCATTGCTTTATATTCAACATCGTAGGGCTGTGGCACACCGCCTTTGTATCAACTGTTTGTTACCTGGGCACATCCCACGGAGCGCACCTCGATGCTCTCCTTCGCCTATAGCGGCCTGATTGTGGGTTCAATTGGCATATACCCGCTGGCCAGTTATCTTAGCGATTTTGGCTGGACAGTACCATTCTATGTGCTTGGCAGTGTCTCCATGCTGTATGGCCTAAGTTGTAATTGGCTTATTTATAATAGCTTGGAACAGCATCCACGGCTGACAGCTGAAGAGCGTGAGTATTTGCAGCAGTTTGCGCAAAAGCCACAGGTGAGTAGTTGCTGATTGACTGATTGAACGATTGACCTATATTATCTGATTTGGTGCAGCATTTACGCATACCCTGGCGATCGCTGTTGACCTCTTTGCCCGTCTATGCTTTTGTCCTCACCCATGTCTTCCACAATTATACCTTTCTGGTATTATCGCTAGTAATGCCACGATTCATGCGTGAGGCCATGCAGTTTAATCTGAAAGAGGTGAGTAATAAGAATCTAAAGCTTAAAAGCTTCACAAATCTACTCACATATCAGCAAATTCTCAACAAGGGTATTCAACCTTCGGCGTGCAGAAGATAAAGGTTTTTTGTTAGTAAAGACCTAAGACGTCTCTTATATTTAGTCTATTATTATTTAACTTGTTTAACACAAATTTAACTTAAGGTTCATTTAAAGTATTTGTAACTTAATCGTTTTGAAACTTATCTTACTTACAGATTGGACTACTATCTTCGGCACCTTTTATCGGCTCCCTGCTTTCGAAAGTAATATGTGTTTTCAGTTGTTCTTATTTAGAGAGACGATTGTTTGCCAATCTCAGCTGCCTGCGTCGAGTTTTATACACTGTCTGTAAGCATATAACAAGAAGAATTCAATTGAACCTTTGGTCAAATTATGAATTATACCCTGAACCCATTAAAAATGGGTAAAACGGGTATAATGTATTTCTGTAAATGTGGGTAACAGGCAGAAGAAAGCATTTCGACCCCATAACGTATATATATTCCTGATGAGAATCAATAGTCTAGCTAGCCATGTCCGTTTGTCTGTGCGTCCGTCTGTCCGCCCGTCTGTCCGCCCGCCTGTCCGGCCGTCTGTCCGCCCGCCTGTCCGCCCGTCTGTCCGTATGAAATTTGGAATGCTTTTGATAATTTGTCCCGTTTCCAGTTAATCAAATAAAATCCAATATCTAAATCCTGTTTTTTTTAGAAAATCTCGTAAATTATAAGAGCTAGAGACACCAAATGTTTCAAGTAGCTTCTTGAGTATATATTATTTAAATATCTTTCGGTTTGTAACTATTGCCATTTATTCTTTTATCACAATAGGTTCCGGTGTAACAATAATTTTAATTGGTATCATCATAATCGCGAGCTGTGAGCAAAAGACACTCGTTTTTCTTATCTTTGTGCTGTTGGGATCTACCACGGATATGGGCTTTAGTGGCGGCTACTGGCCTACTTTATTGTACTTTGCGCCTTCTTTTGCTGGTCTGATTTCAGGACTGGCCAACTGCCTTGGCCACATGTCCGGATTTGTGGCTCCCCATGTCATAGCCAAATTTGTGCATACCGTAAGTCCCCACCACATAGACATCTAATCCCATAGTGATGTTCTATAATTATTTTTCAGGGCATCAAGTCCGAGTGGAATTGTGTCTTACTAACGTTGATCCTTTTTAATGCACTGGCTATAATTGTGTTTGGCCTTTGCAGTAGCACAGCATTACAGCCATGGGATCCTCGTAGCCAGACGTCGACATCTCCAACAAATGCCAACAATTCTACTCGAGAAACGCCAAATTAGGAAAATCCACAGACATAGTCAATAATTTAATGTACATATTTTTTAATCCGTCCAAAGTTTTGCGTTTTTGTATTATGTTAGCGTATATTTGCAATATAATTTGGTCATTGTTTTTAACTTTCTCTTTTTCACATTTTATTTTTGTCACTTAAAATTATACCTTAAAATAGAATAAAAAGCGATATGCGCGTCAGTATAAAAAACAACAACAACCATGGATCAATAATTGTGAATGACTTTATTATTTTGTTTAAAAAAAGAAAATCTGATAAAAATTGTGAAAGTCCGTTAAGCTTTCTGATTGTATCAGCAATATGTCATGTGGATTAACCCCCATTACTGCACTTACTCGCTAGACTCTTTCAACATATTATATTAGAGGCATTAAGAGTCTTATATTGACTGCAGCTATTATAGTTTTTATTGACCCCTTCTAAGTGCTTAGCCAAATAATCCAAGGAAGTATTTACAAAATAATGTATAAGAATTTTATTAGATTATTACCTGTTTTTCGCTCTCCCTTCTCTTTTATTTTTATACGCGAAATTGTTTGAATTGCGCGCTTTGTATTGTGTGTCAAAAATTAATCGATTAACCAGCCAACATTTGACAGATGCCCATAAGCTCACATATCGACATATCGATTCTATAAAGTGTTGCTAAAATAACTATCGATGTACTCAACTAAATCCAAACAGCTGTACAAAATTAATCGTCTGTCAGTTTTTGTTTTATAAATCATTTTCGATTCGTTTGCTTGACGTTCATGGACGTGTTTCCGCACACAGCATTTGAATTGGTTTCGCAATAGAAAAATTTGCGTGTTTTCTATCTGGATGCAACAATAAATTGTCAGTGTCTCCCTTTATACTTTTGCAATACAAAATTCTCAGTGGAAGATCAACAAACAGAACATAGACTTCAATTTGGCAGCTCTTCAAGTAAAATTGCAAAGTGAGTACAAAAAATGAATCAGCTCTTGCGCCCAAAAAAACAACAACCATCAATTGCTTTAACTATTTAGTTAGTTTTTATAAATACACTGTTTTGCGTGCATCGAAAGGCGGAAACATAGGGCAGGTGGCGCAGCTAAATGTTTCCTGATTTGTAATTGCGGGCTTTTTAGCATTTCCTCAAATGAATGCTTCTTGACAAATCAATAAACGCTAAAATGTCGACGCCGTCGAGCGATGACGTTTGCCCGGTTTGGCTGCCATTTAGATTAAGTCCCTGGGTAGAGTATTTTATGCTACGTGCTATTGTTTATAACCAGATTTTTGTTGGCGACGTAATTACAGACAAAAAGAAAATAAAGCACGAATATTAATTCTTTTGTCGAATGTTTTAAGCTTTTCGAAACACTTGTTACCTTGAGTGCACCGTGTTGTTTTAACTGCTTGCGCCGAGTTGAGGGAGGTTCATTCATTCGTGTGTATTAGTGTGCGTGCGTGTGTCTGCATATGTATTTAGTATATAAAAAGTGATCGTTTAAAATTATATGCCCACAAGCCATATATATGCATGCATGTGCTGTTGGGTTCATGAAGCAAATACATTTGAATTTTTTCGCAATATGGCAACTGTAGCAAGAGCAACACTTGTATATGTGTGAGTGTGCATTTGTGTGTTGTGCTTGTGCTTATGTGCGGGGCCGCACGTTCACACATACATTGTCTCTCGCACACTGCGAGCTATTTGTTTGGCGCTTTAAAAAAAACTAACTACGCCCATGAAGCAAGCAACGCGATGTCCGATCCGATCCGTATACATGTACATACATATATGTACATATGTATTTGTTGTCTTATTGCGTTTTGCATAAATTCAAGACGTCGTCATAGTCAAATTTATTTTTAGTTTGCTTTTGTTCGTTAGTTGTTTGTGTTCACGTCCCAAACAGGTGATAACGGCGTACCAATAAACCATTAAATATATTATGCTGATATACACACAAATACCACTCAATAATACTTTGATACCGCTTATCAAAAATACATGTGAATATGTGTTATACATATGCACATGTATGCCAGTTGTTTATAAACAATTGCCTTTGGTTTCTTGTGTTTGTGCTTCTCTTCTCTTTTGCTTAGTCATTCTGTTTTATTTTAAAAATATTTTAAGCATTGCGACGACCCCGCAGCGCAAAAAAACTGATTTCGCTCACATAAACGAAAAAATTGCGCAAAAAGAAAAGAGAAAATGTTCGTTTACTTGTTGCGTTTTTATAAAAACATTCATACATATGTTAGGTATATGCATTTGTATTTAAATTCGCTTAAGTGGTGCGGTTTTTTCTTTTGTTTATCTAAACTAAACGATTGTTAAATGTGTCAAACCGGTTTCGAGAAGAACGACGCAACAGCTTCTTGCCGGTACAAAACAAGCGTACATACACACGGTCCTCATACATACATACCTGGACGGTACCATATCTTATATACATATATGTGTATTTGTATATAGACAGTTGCAGTTTAACAAATAATAACAATGTTCGGTAAATATATTCATTAATATGTTTGTTTTGTCAAAATACTAAAAACGTTTTCAAGAGTTACTTAATCTTACAAATGAAGTAGACGCTTTTGAAAAGATTCCTTGTGGAGGTTGAGCTATTATTTTTCCCCCAGCTGTAAATATATATATATATATATAAGTGCGTAAAAAATACTAAAGTTGAGCAAATGTAAAAACAAGCAGTAGGATGTGTATGTACGCACGTATATATTTATATATATTCCTGACCGAGTTGGCTACATTGCAATGTTGACTCGCCTTTTAATATATACTTGTGATTATATACAAAAATAAACGCTGATAATGAAAATTTAGTACAACTTTTTCCCCTCACTTTAAATGAACGAAAAGCGGCCTTTCTATGCGATTCTCATGAACTGTAATGTAAATTTAGCAATGAAAAACTGTAGTTTCCTTTAATATTTTTGACTCCTTCTCAATCTCGGTTCAATTGCCTACATCGTAGTAGAGAACTCAGTGTACATTGGTAACTTCTCCTCTATCTGTCTCTTTCCACCACTCTCTCAAAATCCCTAGCAATCTCTCAATCGTTACTACTCTGCGATATTTCATTTATTATAAATTAAGAGTACCTCGTAGTCGAGAACTTGATCCGCGTATTTACTGGCTTTCAAGAGCAATAATTAATGATTCTCTTTGCAGCACTACCATGTTGTTAAAAGTACCATCTGTTGATTGGACGGATCAAATAGTTTACGTGGTGGACGACGACGAATCACTGTCTGACTTTGACGATGAGCCAGATTTCTCAGAATATATGTGGATGGAGAACGAGGAGGAATTCGACAAGAACGTAAGTCTCAGAAAACTTAGCCAATACAGTAGAGTTCGAGTTTTGATTAATTCCTATGGCATCTGCAGGAATTGCAACGTCTGGAGGAAGAGGAAATTATGCAAGAGTGCTTTGAGGCCATGATCGAGGATGAGCTTGAAGAGCAAATCAATGAATGGGAAAAGGCAAAGTACGAAAAAAGAAGAAAAAATAAATACAATAGATAGTTGAAAATAAACGCTACTTTCTCTATTTGCAGAACGGAAGAACAAAATACAGCCCTATCTGCGCTACCAAAGAGTCAATGTAATGTTGAGAAATCTGTACTAAATCCTATGGCTGACGAATTTGTACCACTCTGCCATCAAATGGATTTTATAGCCTCGTAAGCCCGGCCCCAATAGTCTGAACTATATAACCTCACACATCAGCGCTTTCAGATAAGCGTCTGAAAAGTGACATACCGAGGATATTCCAACATCCCATGCAATACCTTGATAAACGTTTATATATGATATTCACCTCCCATGTCTTACCAAAAAAACACAAAAAAAAAAAAAACAAGCCATTTTTCAAACAGGCAACATGTCAAAAAGTAAAAAAGAATATATAAAACAAAATTGAAGAAATCTACGCGCACATACACACACACGTTATGATATGTACATTAACCAACTCAACCGAAATGCAAACGAATACCATAAACAAAAAAAAAACTTAAATTGATACAACCAAAAAAAAAAAACAAAAAAAAAAACAAATGAAAAAGAAAAAGAAACAAAAATACAATATATATACATAAACAAGTAAAAATGGAGTAAAGCCCGTTAACTTAGAATACTACGAGCATCAAATTTCGCGTTTAACAAGAAAATGTTTGCTATCTCGAGCCAATTATAGACGTGTCGTGCTTAAGCTAGTGAAACTTTCGTATAAACATACAAACAAATGACTTTTTTACACAAAACTAACTGTGAATTGCAACATCTATTTAGAAACCTAAAATTATTATACTTATATATAAATTTCCAGCAAAAGCAAATGTAACAACTACAAGACTCAATTGTGTTTAAATACCAACCCGAATATTTAGCCGTCACTTTGATTAATTGAAATTCTTTTTAAAGACTTTAATTGTAATTAATTTAATGCAAAAGCTCACGACCTAAACTCGCTTTAAGTTTATTGTTTATTGGCCTCTACTTTTTTTTCTTCATTAAATAATTGTTAACTCGTTATACGTTCTGTCTATATTACAAAATAGCGACTTTACCTCCCTTTAACTCGCATACTAGTAATTTGCAGTTGTAAATAAGTAACAAAACTTAAAGAAACAAAAATACTAAGATAATTTGATGTACGTACTAATGTTTAATGACATATATATACATATATATACGTATATGAATGTGTATATGTATATCTAGTATTAATCTAATGCGCTGCAATACATATATTTTTCGTAAAAGTTTAAGTCTAAATTAATTTTTGTCAATTTGCACTAAACGCAAATGCAGAAAAAGTACACAAATTTAATTGAAATTCTACTTTTACTTCTGTTTTCGGATGTAGAAATAAATAGTTTTTGGTTAGTTATAGATAGTAAGGACAGCATTAAAAAGATCTTATTTACGTTATGTGTGATATAAAGATAAAAAAAAAACCAATCAAAAAAAATATAAAAAACTATTTTTAAAATCCAAATAAAAAGAAGTATTATACCATAAGCATGTCTTATTTTATTTTGAATGAATGTCTTATTTTATTATTTTGTGTGTATGATTCAAATGGACATATGTATTCATATGGATAATTAGGAAAAGGATAGCATTTTGGGACTTTCAAACGTCTTGGCTGTTAGTATAAAGGAAAAGTATATTTTTGGCACGTCGAATATCGAATACCCTTGTAGACATTTGCAATACGGCCTTGAGAATATATTATGGACTAGTGAGGCTCTCAAACTCTTCATAAATAATATAGAAGTACGATCTTGAAAATTAATAATTAATGTCGGAGTTTTTCATACAAGAACCTAATTTTCGAAACTGATGATATAGTTTGTATGTATATCACTGTTGATGCTAATTTATAATAAATATGTACTTCATGGGGTCGGAGATGTCTCCTATGTGTTACAAATTTCATGATAAAGCCAAAATACCCTACCCAATGGTATACGGAACCCGTACGAAATAAAACCACTATTTTCAACACTCAACGCAATTGTACTAAATCTGGCAACGCCAAGTCAGGCCGTGCACAAATTAGTGCAATTTAAAACGATACTTATCGAAAAGCAGTCGATAAAACATTGCTGATAGCAAACATGGCGTCGTCGCCAATTTCTGGTTGATTTTGTTGTTAAAGCGAATGCAGAAAATTTTGCAATAAATTGTGTGAAATGTGAAATATTTTGAGTGCAATCAATCAGCGCGCATTGTAGCAACAAGCAGCAGAGCAAGGCAGGCTAAAGAGATGGCTGCGGCTGCTGCAGCAGTGCCAGCTGCAAACACAACTGCGACAACAACACCTGCAAATGCACCTGCAATCGCTTCAAGCGCTAGCGCGGCGCAATTTCGTGAAATACATAAGAATACGTGGTTAAAACGACTGACGGCCGATGGCAAAAAGTTAACCGTAGGTCCCAAGGTAAACAGTTAAACAATTTATCTTGCAGGTTGATAATCAATTGACTTGCAGAAATCAGAGTGCAGCTGGGTGGTATTTTGCGTACACGATGACACCGAAGCACTGCTGGAGGGTTATGCAGAGCCACGCCAGGCGGCAGCCCATATGCCTGAATGGGCTGTATCGCTGCGGGACACGCTGCACATATCACACGCCCTCATACCCAATTCCCATGAGTTTGAATTTGTTGTAACGCTCAGCAATGAGGTGTTGCGCTTTCATGCCGTTTCATGGTAAGTTGCGCTCAATGCTTAATTGCAATTGCGTTAACAATATTTTATTGGCCTACCGCAGGGAGATTATGCAAGAATGGGTGGAAACGTTGCGAGCCAAGCTGCGCGAAATGAAAATTCTATCGCCACGTGAAAACCTATACACAAAGTTACCTGAAGTGCGCGCTCCATTGCTGCCCACACGCGATCCAACATCACCGTTGCCTGCACCACCGCCAGTACCGGCGGCCATAGTGCCAGGCGTGGAGCGTATTCCGGCTCATCAGCATCAATCGGCAGCCGCCAATGAACAGATATCCCGAGCTGCACCCACTGTGGCGCCGGCACCAGTCATAGAAGCTGTCGCAACAACAACAACAGCAGCATTAGTGCCGCCGCCACCGCCGCCCCCAACAACGGCCATGTCTAATACCCTAACACAACATTTGCTCAATATGCTCTCGGATCCGATTAGCACGTACAGCGAACAAATTAACGACACAGCGACGACAGCTGTCGCCGAGGAACAGGAGGACGCTCAACAGCCCCATGCAATTGCAACTGAACTGCCAAGGGAAACTGCAGCTGATTTACATGTGTCCGATGAAGAGTTTCTAACGCCCATATTGCGAAATGGAGTACGCGTGGATGTAGCTGCTGCATCTACGCAGCGCATATCAGCGGGTAAGTGCCCGTGCTCAATTATAGCTCAGCATCAACAATTTAACAATATTTGCAACAAACTTTTTGTTACAGATCAAATCTTAAATTTCGACCAAATGATTCAATGCGAACGTTTAATACCCAGGTAAATGTAGAAAACCCATTACAACCCCTCAGCTAGCTCATCATGGCGTTCTTGCAAGAACTTGAGCACCGTCCGTTTTGCAAGTTTGTCGCCTTTGTAGCTATCCAGAAAGAGCTTTCGCAGCATCATCAGATGGCGCATGGCCACTAGAGACAGCTCTTCCATCCGAGTTGCTTCCTGCATGTTGAGCACCTTTTTGTAGCGTTTGCTCACCTTGGCACGCATTTCATCGTATGCCCTGCCGACCTGATATTGTATTGATAGGCGCGTATAGTAGTCCATGTGGGCGTGCAGTATCCATCCCAACTGCTTATCCAGCTGCTCAAAATGCGTCCGGTCCTGTTGATCTTCACACAGAACAGAGAAAAGCGTCACAAAATAATGTATCGGCTGTACAAAAGTTGGTTCCACAAACAGCTTCAGAGCCGTTACGGCTGAACAGGCAAAAATATGCTTCATATAACCAATCTCCTTACCATACATATTATTATGATTGCGCAGCGTCTCGGCTTTGGCGTAAAAGCTTTGACGACGTTGCAGCAAACTCTCTTTCTCCAACTGCAAGACCTGCAGCTCACCAGACATTGCTGCATTTTGCTCCGCCAACAGCTTATTGGCATTTTCCAGACGTTGCATCACATTCTCTCTGCAGCTAATGCCTGAGGAATGTATACTGATAGGCGAACTATACTCCATGCTGCAGAAACTATCGCAGTCATCATCATCATCATCAACACTTTCCCTTGTATGGTGCAATGCAATGCTCATCTGATGCAGCGTCCGCAGATCCCGATGGCAGCTGCGCGCATCGGTGAATGGATAACTCAGTGTGTTTTGATCGTTGAGCTGCTTGTGCAACAACAGCAACATACAGTTTCGCGCAAACTTCTCCTCGGGCGTGGCATGCTGAAAGATCTTGAACCAACGTGCGCATGTGGACATAATAACATTATTGCGGGGCAACCTTTCCACTATTTGCGTCACGCTGCCCACCTGCTTGACGAATAGCTCGTCCAGCTTTTCATCTGTTAAAGCAAATGTTTCAGTCATTTTTTTTCAAAAATATATTTTATGTATTTGTTTGAACTGACTTTCGGCAACTGTAACGTAAGCCTGACCTGCTAAACTAAGCAAATACGAGCTTTGTAATTCACCTGACGGATCTACAAGAGTATTAAATCTTAAATTAATATCTATAAATATCCAATATCTAACCCCACGCTGCGGACTTGAATTCGAGTCCTTAATGATTGAACTAGTCAAATAACTTATCCTCCAAGAAACATTTACAAAACATATTTGTTCTTTTATTTTGAGGGTTATTAATTATACATGTTTCTTAAAAATGCATCTTTTTTTTCAACTTTAGACCTCAAACATCACGTTCCATGTCGGCAGGCGCCGCTGACAAGTCCAAGAGGCCGCAACGAAAATCCCCGCAGCCCACAGTACAAGCGGCAGTCACTAACTCATCCGCAGTCGAGGAGAATGGGGATAATAATATAACAATTATACAAGTGTCCAACACAACAAATACTACTACAACGACCGAGGCGCAACCGCCTGAACTGCCGCCCAAAAACAAGATAATTGCGGATATATTTCGTTTTCCTGAGATCAATGTAAAAGCCAAGACGAAAACCCAGCAGCAACAACAAAAGCCACAAAACGATTATAAAAGCAACGTACAAATAATTCCGTCCAATTCAAATACGATACAGGTGCTGAGCCAGCCAAGCAGCAGCAGCTGCAGCAATCCCTATACCATACCATTAAACCAGAATGCTTCCAATACGCCAACTTCAAATGCTTCCACGGCAGCAAATGCCAATGCCAATACCACAATGGTTCACGTGCTGCCCAATGTCGAGACAATCGCACCGGCACCAAAGCCCACGGCTACCACTGTGGCGGTCTACGGCACCTGCTATCCGACAGCCAGCGAACCGCTTACGCCTAAGATGTCTAAGAAGATCATACTTAGCGCCAACAGCTCGGGTGTTACGCACATACGCATTAACAATGAACAGACGCTGGACTCAAATGTGATTAGCGGCAATGTGCACTACGAGAAGGTTTTCCTCTCGTCGAGTATTCCCATCAGCAGCTGCAGCAGTAGCCCCAGCACAGCTGTTCGTGAGCAGCGCGCCACGAGTAGCCAAGTAGCCCAAGCCACAGTTCAAACCCCAAGCAATGCTGTTGTCAGCGCGGAAAACAGTCCCGCACTGCCACGTCGTGGCCTTGCCGTGGCCTCGCCCACGCCGAACAGTGAGCGTGCAAGGCCACAACTAACGCGCGGCCTGACTGAGCTGGTCATAAGCTCGCGACCCAGTCGACGCGATTTCCACTACCTAAAGCTACTCAATACGCCGCTCAAAACGAAAACAACTCCAAAGGCCTCCAGCACCAATGCCAACAATAATATTGAGCAGGTTGCTGCTCACTGTACGTCCAGCGCAAGCAATGGAACAAGGGATCAAACTAGCCATGTTGCCGCCAGCACCAACACGGACAGCATCGAGCAGCGCAGGCGCAGCTCCTCCACATCTGATGCGCAGGCGCCGCTACAACGTGGCGCCTCAGTCGGCGCACCCACGCAGTCAAGCAGTCACCGTGGCGCTAACAACAATGAGTTTGTGCCTGGACGCAGTGCAGCAGGAACGGCTGCTTTTCGCATGCAATCTCCGCCACAGGCAACAGCACAGTCGAACAGCAGCAATAAGCGATTGACGCTGCGCGAACAGCAAGTTATGCAACTGCGCCGAGAGATCATGCATCCGGGTGGTGTGCGTCTAAATCTGCGACGCAAGGACTGCGTTGGCTCCATTGCCTGGGTGGATGCCTTCGGGGGCGTCTGGTAAGTAGCTCATATGGCCCCAAAATTAAAATAAAACTATAAATTTGAATTCGAATCATAATCAGGATTGCTGGCTGGAAGCAAAAGGAACATCCGGTGCTCTACAATGCCCTGCACATTGGCGACCAGCTGCTCTCCATTGCGGGCGTTAGCATTAGCAGCGCCGCCGAGGCCAACAAAATAATACGCAATACCAACACGTTATTTGTGAGTATTAAAGTGCGAATATGCACCAGCTAGCAGTTGTTAAACCGCGAACACGCCCAACCTTAAAATACTTGAATTTACTGTAGCGCTTACTTATAGCCTGATTACGTTATTCTTGACATATACTGTAGAAGTGGGCGCGCGTTTTTTTAAATTTATGAAACCTGTCGTTTTTACCGACAGTTAGACGGCGCTTTAAATCGCTTATTCATATCCAAAAAGAAATTTAAAATTTAAAAATTCTTAATAAGATAAATGCTACCGTTTTCAATGAGTTAGTATTCGGTTCGAACTTTCTATTTTTAGGTCGAAGTACTGCTGCGTCGCATACCATTTGGTCGTGCCTATGCCATACGCCGAGATCGCGACGGTCAGTGCTTGGGACTAATACGCGATGGCAATACCTCAACCATAGTGGATGTGGTGCCCAACAGCTTGGCGGCAAGGCATGGATTACCGCCCAAGGTGACTAGCATACAAGCTTTCAATAATTTCTTAACGATAATTCTATTAATTAATTTTGTACAGGCTCAGTCATGCGATGGCAGCACGCTGACTTTTTGGATACTCACGGAAATTAACGGTCGACCGTTAAATCTGTTCTTCAAGGATTTAGAAATACGCGATCGCCTAAATTCGGTGGGCAGGGATATATCGATATTGGTGCAACCGTCGGATTTGATAACCAAATTGAAGAAGCAACTGAAATCGTTGCGCGGCTACAAGGATTATCTAGTACAGTAAAATGTCGGCTACAGCCTCACTTCAAAAGTGGTCGGTTTTAAATAAGTACATATATATATAGGGAGATATATAGCTATGTAGAAACTCGAAACTGTTATACTATGTTATACGTGTATATTTTTGTATAACACTGGGCCAGATAACCATTCCATTTTCCACATAAAAATGCATGTTTACTTAAGCGAACGAAATGCTATATAGTCATCTTTTATATGTAGAGTAACTTTATACTAAAATATATATACAACCAAGCATGAACGGAAATGCATATACATATATTTTTGCAAATTTTATATAAGTAGTTTATATAGAACTCTATATAAATCGGTCACTTTGAGAATATACACGTCAAATTTGTTTGAATATTATAGAAACAAAATTATGAAAATTTACAAAAACAAAAAAAAATGTAAACAATCACAAGTATTTATGCTAATTCGAATACTTTTCAAACATTTTATATTCGTAAATTGAATTGAATATACACATACCATATACACACGCGTATTATACAAAACTGTGCAACTTAGTATCCTTATGTAATATTAGAGTGCCTCTGATTTTGTTTGATATTTTTTATAATGTGTTCTTTATTCGATTAGGTTTTTAATGGCAAAAATAAAAAACATCTATGTAACTTTAAGATGTGATAAACTGAGTACTCAAATTTAGGCAATTTTTAAAAAGATATATTTGTAAATGCTTTTTAATTTGTTTTATACATATATGTCCATATAATTTTTGTGTTAATATTTTGTCAGTATACAATTATTACATTATTACAACATACAAGTATAAATATATTATTATGTAACTTCATTGCAAAAAGTTCATTAAAGCAATTCCATATGCATAAAACCTACTCGCAGACCGTATTCCGTTTGGCCTCATTTACATTCTGCTTCCAGATGCGAAAATTATATACGTTGCTATCCAATGTGGAGTAAATGAAGATTGGCATCGAATTGGTCATGATCCAAATGTTGCCATCCTCATCGATCTGCAAGAAATTTAATTTGTTATTAATAATATATATATAAATGAATTATAAGTATTCTGACCGTTAAATCGCTGGGATAGATCATAGTTTGTTCATTTGATGCCACGGTACCATGGTTTGCCGCCGAGAACGGCTGGTTCGTGTTCCAACAGCCCACACCATTCGTTTGTATTTCAGCATAGAAAATAACACCGGTCTTCGGATCGTAATCATGCATTGTGGATTGCTTATTTTGGCCACGGCTGCCCAGCAAGCGGAAATCGTTGCCATGATCGGAACGCGCCGCATTTGACTCCAGCTGTAGCACACGATTCGAAACGACAAACTCATTATTGCTGGCCATCGCATGGAAGTAGACATCGCGACTGCCATCCGGCTGCTGTGCACCCAATGTTGTGGAAAAGATGCCATCATCCCAGCGGAAAGACTGACCGCCTATGTTCAAATCGCCGGCCACAGGGTCAAAGTTAAAGTAGTTGTGCGCAAAGGACCATATGCGATCTGTCGCCAGGTTATACACATACAGACGGCTATTGACCAGATCTGGAATATAGGCATAAGCCTGACCACACTCCTCGGCCGATTCCATATCAATGGTCAGGCTGGCCAGACCACGACCCGTCTCCACAATGCTTTCCGGTATATCAAAGCGTTTGATTACGCGATCAGTTTTAAGGTCCACTATCCAAATGCTGGGCCGTCTGATTTGCTGCCGATTATCTGGTTAGTGCGAAGATCACAAATTAAATCTACGTTTTTTAAATATAAATTTGACCTTGTCTCACTTGGATACTCCAGCATGCCAGTGTCAATGAACCATAATCTCTGGCAAGCATCCACCGTGGTCCGGTAAACGGAGACCAAATTCTGCGCACTTTTATTAAACTGATTCAATTCGAAGTTGGGATACGCGTAGAGCTTGGGACTGTTCTGTTTGCTATCACGACGCATGTCTATAAAGTTCAAGGTCGACGGAATGCCCACACGTCGTCTGGGCATGGTGAGAAATAGGCGTCCTCGAAAATGTGTAGCGCCCATTGGCACATTGTTGTAGGGTATGTATGGAGCGGCATCGCCATTATTGAAATCGCTGCGCGCGCTAAACCCCTCGGGTATATCACGCGAGGTGAACACCTCACGTTTTGCTCGCACAGGTCTCTCCCGACCATAACGATCTGGGAACACGACTGGCGCTGGTGGGGAAAACACCTCAAAATTAACATCAATACTATGAAAGATATGCACAAAAATGTTGAAAACACTTCCAATGTGTGAATGTGCTCATCAGTTTTTTAGATAGTTTGCAAATAAAATAGAATAGCCGTTTCTATAGAAACTCTGAACTATTGAACTTACAGCTTATGCTGATAAAGATACATGTGTTGTATTGTGATTTACCTGACGGATCCGGGCGTCGACCGTGTTGGCCATCGCCGCGATTGTAGAAATCCATTTGCTTCCATTTGAAGACCTCTATCAGGCCATCTCCATGCACAAAGGTTGGCACGAGCCACAATTGTACGCATAGCAAAAACAACGTTCTTGACATCGTTTTTTTCTTTTTTGTATTCTGATTTTACGTAATTTCAGTCTATTAGCCGGAATTCGAGCTTTCCGTGCCAACGTCTAAGCGACAACTGAGTTAACCGCTGGAGGCAGCAGTGTTTAGTGCTTTGAAATCAAACTGGGAGCATCGCAAACAATTGATAAGACATCATTGGCTGAGAATTGTGCACACAAGCCGGAAACCTGTTTTCTCATATGCTGCATATAAATAAATATATAGGCAACTTGATTCGACATTAAATCGTGCCAAAATGCAGCGGGGTACTTCACTTATTTCAATATTTATTTTAGTCATGTTTCCGGTTTTATCCAGCAAACTTTGAACGTTGAGTTCTTCAATCGTTTTTAGAGTGTTAAGAAAAACATTTAGCTTATTTTGTTTCTCATTAAAATGAGAAAATAAGTTTAGGTTGAATATAACACATACATATGTAATAAGATTTCAATTTACATATTTAGTGGTTCAAAAGGGCATATATTTCTTTCATTTAAATGTTAGGGGATTAACATGAGCACTCCCAGGCCCAGAACAACTTTTATTGCATAACTTTAGGCGGCAAATTATTCTATAATTGTATGTATGTCCCGTAAATCATGCACAAGACCAATTACACTCTATGTGTAAGTGATAGCACTACATAATAATAAAAAAAATGTAGACGCTTTAAGCCCCGATAAAAACATCTTTGTCAACATAGAGATTGACAAAAATGGTCACTACACATTAGGTATTCCATTATATTAAATATTTGAACCTAAGAGCATTTAAAATATCATATTATTATTATTATTAAATTACATGCAATAATGTAGTAGTTGGTATATTCAAATGCAATTTTTGTTTGTAACGTATATTTCGCACTCAATGTCTCCACCTGCTTATGTCAATACTGGTCTATCGATAACACACCAATTGTGTATGTATATCGTCGACCACTATTCGTCTGATCGACCGCAGTGCAACGCTGAGCCAATACAAACACGCTCACGTACATACACACACACGCACACACACACTGTGAAGGCAGAAAATTGCAATTGCACCGAACGGACGACGAGCGAAACAAAAACGAAAAATCCCAAACATTTCACTTGTTTAATAAATCTATATACTTAACTGCACAGCAGTCGAATTAGGCTAAAAGCGCTTCAAGGTAATCGTATCAAATTGTCGAACGCCAAGAAACGCGCACAGCTCGTTGAAGGCGCGCGCGTTTGGGAAAAAACGCGTTGCGTTCTTTTCATTTTGCTGTATGTGAGAGACTTCTTCGACACAACACACACATAAATACACACAAACACAGACTCGCCAGCAACAGCAACGAAAACGACGGTCGGTTGGTCGGTCGGTCGGTCGAGACGAGGCGAGTGAAAGTGTCTCCACCACGGAAGTGCATCTGTGATTTGTATAATAATGCGTCGCACATACTCAAATTTTTGTTACGCGAAAAGCCATGGCTACGTTTTAGCCTAATTGACGTAGGGGCTCAATGTTAAGAAGTGTGACCAAAAATAAATACAAATAAAATATATAAAAAATACAAATTTCTAAAATTAAATAAACATGGCTGAACAAGTGGAAAAGGCATTGACGTACATCAAGACAATGCCTGTTACCACCACGTTACAGGTGCCAGACGCAGCAGATGCAGCAGCCGCAGCAACAACTTGCATGAATTGTTGCAGCAACGAGGACGACGCCAGTCCCAGTTGCAGCGGCAGCAGCAGCAGCAGCGGCAGCTCCAAGCCGAAGGGTGCCAAGGCCAAAATCCGTACCAGCAGCATCGATGCGAATGTGGTGGCTGCCGCCGAGGCTGTTGTCAACGGTGAACTGGACGCCGCCTCTTGCTATCATGTGAGCATGAAAATGTCCATTGATGCGGCCACCCCGCGCATTTGTGGCGACACCATGCCGCTGAAATGTGATGCATTGGCGGCAATGCGAGAGGCGCTCAGCGCCAACAAGCCATTGCCCCTCCAATCGAAGCAGGCAGGTAACAAAGCCAGCCAGCACCCACCACCGTGTCAGCTGCTGGAGCGTCTCAATTTTCCCGAGGGCAACATTATAAACACGCTGCACACGATACTGGCGCTGCCGCCGTTCGATCCGTACGCGCCAGCGCCAAAATCGGATGTAGTATACAAGGAAGTCGTTACGCTAATGCAATGGAGCCTGCGCGAGGACAATGTTATCGAGATGGAGCTAAGCGATAAGTTGCTCCACGAATGCAAGCCCAAAAGCAATGATCCAAACGAAGAAAGGCGCTCGTATTTGGTATGTACAGCAGAATTCCATTCGATTGTGTACACAAGTTAATTGAGTTTTCGCAACTTGCAGATGGCTATTGAGAATATGCGTTTATTCTCAGAGGATCCAAAGATCAATCCATTGCGCAGTGCCGACGGACATCATCGTGCAATTACGGTGTGCTTCTATTGCCTTGAAACTGTCATGCTGAAGCCTAATCCATTGCAGCTTTATTTTCAGAATCTTGCCTTGATATTTGTTAAACATTGTAAGGAGGAGTTCTTTACATTTTGTTCCTGCAAGGAATGTCTCGAATATCGCGAAACAATTATGGCCATTATGATGGATCAATTTAAGGCTGCCCACATGGTCGTCATGCTGCTCGATGTGCTTATTAAGGCATACAGCCCCATGTTGAAGTAAGTTGGCAACATTCCATTCAATAAATAAATAACATACTCTTATGTTGTATATTTCTATTTTAGAAATGATGCTGCCTATAACAAATTCGAGAAGCTATTGGAGTCCAATAAGCAAATCTATTGGATTACAAGCGGTTTTCTCTACGATAAAAATGCCGAATATCTTGATTTTATTGATGATACTGCGATCTCTGATAATATGATATTAGTGCTATTCAGCGCCATGTAAGTTGATCTAATTGTTTGTACTACGCCTATATATATATATATATATCATATTATCAAATATACATTCCTAATTTGCTTGCAGACTGATGGCCAATAATCCGATGCTGCTGCTACAAATACTCGCCTATAATGTTGAGTGCATTGTTAAGGCATTTTCCGAGGGCATGATCGAAATTGCTCAAAATGTGCAGGAGAACGAGAAGATATCTGCCGAAAAGATGCTCACATGTAGGTTGCACACAGTTTAATGAAAAAGAGTGATCAAAATATTGTATTTTATTATACCATACTAATTTTAAATCTGAGACCCTTAGGGTTATACAATGGTCAATTTCGTTTCTCATACTCCTGTAAGGAGCATCACCATTTTCCACAAAATGTGCAGCGCTTTGAATGATTCATCTCAACACCATAGGGTAGATAAATTCTTAACCGCCTTAGTCTAATTATTTCTAGGCTATCTGGTAGTCCAAAATCAGTTTCAATTTAGTTTTAGCATAGTTTAAAAAAATTCTGGTGAAAAGTTTATGTGGAATTTGTCTGATCAAACCACTGAATTATACAGATTTCATAAAAATATAAATTAAATGACGATCCTTACATTTTGACAAAAACATATAAACATCATACTACAATATCAAATATCTTCCATTAGAACGATCGATTGAAAGTTAAGTTATATAAACAATGACGTTTTATGGTTAAGATCAGATTACCCAATCATGCATTGCTATTATTTGTTGGTTTTTTTTCAAACATTTGGATTTCGATTAATTCTGTATTATAACCCACTTAATTTATTTTCATTTAGATTTATTGGACGGCTACTCCGATTTGAACTGCATCTCACAGAAGATTTCACTTAGCCTGTTCGCTTTTGAGAACGATTTTCTGCGCAAGTTCAAGCTCTCCTGGGTGCTATTGTGTCAGCGACTCTTTCAGCAACATGTGTTCAATCCGCTGGGCGACACCATGCTCGCATGCATATTATCGCTGAAGGAGGGCGAGGGCTCATCTCAGACATCGGCGCTGATCAAACGCTATATGCTGTTCGATGAGCATATGCACTCCATTGAGCGCCGCTGGACGGACATTTGGATGGAGCTAAACAAGTTCAACTTGTCGCCGACGGAGCACGATCGTCGCATGGGCCTGCTCGATGTGTATAACATATTCGATAAGGTCGTTATGGATGCCACTTCCTTCTCGCTGCCGGATATCAGTGATGATGAGTTCATAGATTTTCAGCGTATTGTTGATCGTCAGCTGGCTTGGAAGAATATAATGGCATTCACCAAGCTCAAATGGCCCGACGGTTTCTACGATCCGCCAAATAAGCTGGTGCACGAGGACCTATGCAAGAAGTGTAATGCAATGCTGGAACACCATAATGAGTGAGTGATTCATCGATAGAACTGCAGCCTTTTCAACTATTAACAAACATTCTATTTTGTTTCAAGGAACTGCAAATGCATTACTTGCTCCATTGCTGGTACACCTCTAATGCCGCGACAAGCCGGCCATTGTGCCAAGTGCACAACACTCGGCATTGTTGAGAAAGACGCCAAGCTGATGAAATCGAAAATTTTGAGCACCTGTACGAGCGATGAGGCCAAACATAATGTGGCTGCTAGCACAAGCGCCGCAGCCGCACAACAGCGTCGCAGCAGCGAACAGCCGAACGAAGCAGCTGCAGCTATCTGTAGAGCTGGGGATGAGCCGAGTGGTGTGACGTTGCGGCGTCAGGAGATGGATACCGCATTGCGCACCACATATCACGTGGCATGGGCTGTTTTTCAGCATTTGGCCACGCGTAAACGCTATCGCTATGATAGCATCGAGCCGCAGTTCTTTTGCGGAGAAAACTGCCGAGTCTCCGCTTGCCAACTGGCACGCAAAATCCTTGCCAATGAACTTTCTCCGCCACTGACCAAGCATCTATTGCGATGCTTTCAGCCGTTGTCATTTTCGCGCGAGGAGCTGCGCACCACGCTGCCATCATTGATGTTCTTTAATCGCAAGCTGGCACCTAGTCCCGCGGAACTGCAGGAGCTCAAGAATCAGCACTATGTCTACAAGACCTACTGGACCTTTGTGCTGTCGATCTATGCCAATTTCTTTGTCAAGTTCAATTCCTCAGCTACGGACTTTAAGCATCTGGAGCTGCTCAAGGGTGATTTGCGCTTGCGTCCAAACAGCGTCGTCGGTGACAAAGACGATGGACGTTTTGAGCAGTTTTTGGCGCAGGTCATTGGGTATGTTACAATTTTTTAAATTGGTCTCCCATATATGACAAATTATTAATAATATTATTTAACATTTCAGCTACTCGCCTTTCAAGATTACGGACGAGTAAGTTTGATTTTACCTAATTTTTTTTTAAAAGATATACTAATTTTGTGGCCATATGTCGAACGCATTAAAGATCGCATCTCCAACAATGTAGGGCCTAAAAATTCCTGATGTGCATCAACAGTTCTTTGGATATGAGTTTCTTAGGGACTGTCGAATCAGTCAGACGCTGAGATAAAGCCAGCTATCCTTAAATAAGATTTTGTCATATATAGTGTGTTTCAAGAACCATTGGTCAAAAATTTAATTTCTGTATTTTGAAAGGTACATCAAACTTTAAAACAAAGACACATTAGACTATATCATGCATCAACCGTATAAACAACCGGTCAAGCATTAGAGTGTTTGTAAGAAACACAAAAACTTATTACTTGATGACATAACATTATAAACATAAACATTAAAAATTGCTGCTGGATTTGAACCGGAGCATGAATTTTCTTAATTTTAATTTAAAAAAAAAACAAATCTTGCAATCAAAGGAGCTTCTGTTAAAAGTGCCAATCTACAAAATATAGTCAATTGTCAGTCTGTTTCAGGCAATTATACACTTGTGATTAATCTATTGCCTTGAATGCAATACACCTCGATATCGCATGATAGTTTTTATTCATATTAAGTGGTTTTTCCTTTGCCCAGCTTCACACTCGGCGACGCCAACATCGAGAAAATGCAATTTGGCGTGGATCATCTGATGAAGCTGCATGACTCGCAAATGATGTAGGTAGCACATGAATCAAAACAAAAGCACTTAAAATAATATTTCGCCTTTTTTGTGCAGCAAACGGGGTAAACCGGATAGCACCACAAGTCTGGCAAACAAGTCAAAGATAAACGAAACGACGCAGACGGGCGCCGGCAACGACTCGAACAACTCCAAGAAATGCAAGGAAAAGATGCGTAAATGTGAGCAGCTCTAATATAATATCAAGAAACAACTTAAGTTATCATTATTTTGTTTTGCGCAGGCTGTGCTGATTACGCGGACATTGGGGAGCCCTGCAAGGAGAACCACTCGAAAAAGCGTGTCAAGAAGGAGTGCAATCATGCGCGCTTCAACGAGACGCGCGATCGCTTGCGTAAGAAACTCACACAGATTGTCAATGATCGGAAGAGCAAGAGTGGCCAGGAAGCGTCGGCGGTGGCCAAACCACTGGTGCCAAAGGTGCAAGCCGTCGAGCCAGCTGCAACTAAAAGGCCGGATCCAGTGACCACACAGCAGCCGCCCACACTCAAGGTGGTTGCCTCGGCGCAGGTGCAGGCGGCCACACGTAAAATGCCCGCTGCAGCAGCGGCAGCAGCTGCTGCTGCCGCCGCGGCGGCACTCAACGAAATTGGCGAGAATATTGAGGATGGCGATAATAGTCTGCTCTGTTTGGACAGTCTCTGCAAGAGCATACAGATGCACACGGATGCCACGGCTAGCGGCAGTGGCAGCAGCAGCGCTGGTAGCTTGCCCGCCGACCTAAGCAATTACAGCAAAGAGGAAATGATGCAGGATTTTGCCGAATTTCTGGGCAGCTATACACGCGAACAGGACCAAAAGCGCTGGATCAATGAGACGCTAAATTTCATTGAAGGCAAACCGCAGCAGCCGCAAACGACAAATCCCAAGAAGGCAGCCAAAAAAGCTAAGCAAAAGCAGCGAAAGGAGGAGGAGAAACGCATCAAGGAGCTGGAGGATTTGCGCAGTCAGTTCCTCGATATCTATTTCAAGGAATTCATTGACAAATATGAAATGAAAACCTTAACGGCTGCTGGCGGCCGCAAACGCGAAAAGAAACGCATTGCCGAACTGGAGGCCAACATTAAGAATCTGCAGCGTGCCAAGGCCAAAGTGGAAACAGTTATCTTGGAGCTTATTGCTACTGTTAAGCAGGCGAACAGCGAATTTAAGTTCTCCTATCTGCCCACCAAGGAGCAGCAACTAGCCAAGCTGGCTCAGCTAGACGAGATTTTAAAGGGTGGTCTTATAAGCACAACAATGGATACATTACCACCACCAGCAGCAGCTGCTGCCACAGCAGCGCATTACCCCAATTTTATCAGCTCAGCCGCGTACTTTCCACCTCACATTGGGTCATCCCACACACCCGTGTGCTATGCCCCACCTCATCCGCAACAACAGCAGCAGCAACACTTGCCGCGTGATGTGATCGCCGCCATGGCGGCCAATGCCATAACCGCTGATCCATCCAAGCGCATCGTCACCATACGTCGCGTACAGCTGCCGCACGCCGGCGGCGAGCAGCAGGTGACCGTTGTGGCGAAGGGCAGCTCGCCGGATGAGGACAAGCTGCTCTATACCTTTGTCAACGGTCACATGGTGGCCTCTGCTGTCCAGCCAATGACAAGGAACCCAGCGCCGGTTGCGCCAGCTGCGGCGCCTATGCCAGAGAAGAGCGCTAAGGCCAAGAAAAAGGAGGCTAAACGGGCAGCCGCAGCGGCTGCGGCAGCAGCAGCAGCCGCCGCCGCCGCTGCTGCTGCTGAACTGGAGGCAAAATCAAAGAATAAAAAACCAAACAAAAAAGCAGCGCCAACAGCAATCGCATCCAGTTCTAGCTCCGGCAGCAGCAGCTCCAAGTCGCAGACGCCGCAAAGCAGCGCCGTCAACACGCGTGAGAACTCTGTATGCAGCATCAAGCCCAAGGCAACGGTAAACAAGAAGACGGCGGCCAAGAATGCCAACAAAAATGTGGTCGAAGTGCCGCCCCCCAAACAAATGCCAGTGCAGGCGCAGGCACAGCCCGAGACGGCGCCGGCGCCGGAGTCTGTTAAAAGACACAAGCGCCTAAAACCACGTCTGGATCAGGGTCAGTTAGATAACAATCCGTTCAAATCTTTGCATGTGCAGGACTCTTCGGATGGTGAGTGGGAAACGGGCAGCGAAGCGGAACAGTATGTGGAGCCGCCTGTGGTTGCACCGCCGCCGCCAGTGAAACCACAAGTCAAGCAAGCCATTGCGCCCAAGCCAGCGGCAGCTATGCCAAATTCCAAGCAAAAGCCGGCGGCGCCCATCAAGAAGCCTAAAGCTGAGGCACCGCCACCTCGTGCGCAGGCACCTCAGCAGCAGCAGCAGCAGTCAAACAAATCGACGACAGCGCCAGCCGCTAATCAGCGCAAGCAAACGTCCCAGCAGCAGCCGCCGCCGGCGCAGGCTAAGAATCAAAGCCAGCGTGCGTCCGAGTCACATCTAAATGGCAGCACGCGCAAGTCTAAATCCAGTCATGGACAAGGACTTACGCAGGCAGCGGACAGAAACGGCCAAGCGGTCAATGGGCATCGCGTGTCGCAATCCCGTGGCGGACGAGGCAGTGGACGCTCTAAGCCAGCAAATGGCAGCCAGCAGTCACAGCAGCATGTGAACAGCAATAGCACCTGCTCCTCGAACGCCGCGGAGGGCGGCGGGCAGAGTTCAAAGCGTTCGCAGCGCGGCAAGCGCGGACATCGTGGTCAGAAACAGGGTAAAATCTTTTACAACTCGCTGAAGATGGCCAGCACTAATTCAAATCTCAATCCGAATCTGATTGCTTTTCCAGAGGATCTCTCGGGCATACCCCATAACATGGGCTATTTCAATCCCAACGAAGTTGCCATACCACCGCCGCTGCCACCGCATGCCGGCAGCTATGCCAGCACGCTGGTCCAACAAATGCAGCATCTGCGCATTGGCAGCGGCTCTTCCAGCAAGCAGCAGCAACAGCAGCAGGCCAATTGCAGCATCATGGATCAGTTGAACCGCGGTGTACAGGTGGAGCATCTTTCACTGCCGCCTGGCATAACGCTAACCAAGGTGGATCCAGCCAAAAGCGAACAATTGCGCCAAAAAAGCGAGTCCATACGGAAGCTATCCAAGCCGTTGTCTGAGCAGCAGCAGCAGCACCACTCGCTGCAGCAACAGCAGCATCAGGCACATCTCATGGGCGGCTACTATGCCGGCAATGCGGCGGGCATGGATACCGCCGGTGGCGTCATAATGGTGGAGGCCAATCCGCGCTTGAATCGCTCTAACTGCCAGCCGCTAAATGCGGCGCCCAATGGCAATAACAATGTGGCAGCTGCAGCTGCTGCCGCCACTGCCAGCGGTAAGTCTTCGCGCCGACGTCGCCGCAACCGTGGCAAGTCGGGCGGCAATGGTGTGGGCGGTGGCGCCGCCCTTGGCAACAAGCAGCAGCGTGCTGGCAACTTAGACAGCCAGCAGGCACAGCAGCACACGCTCAGCCCAGCGCCCATTATGGAGGCGAGTGCTGGTGGTAGCATCATAACGCTTCGTAACCCCATGTTCCATCAGGGAGTCAACAATGGGCCCGTGCCGGGTGCCATGTTGCCCAATCTGAATCCCATTCCGCCAGGTACAGGAACACAATGCTTATGCTCATGCTTAAAAATATAATATTTTTTCGTTTTTATTTTCAGTTCGGGCTTATGGCGCGGGTCTGCCAATTGCCGCACCAATGCCCATGGATCAACCGGCCGCGATTATTAAAAATGAGAACGGCATGTTCACCATACGCAATCCGGCGTTGCATCAGGCTGTCACCAATGGCCTGGCCATGGGTGGTTATCGCCAGTTCGGCAGCAATGTCAACTACTACACGCCACAGGAGGCGGTGGCCGAGGCGGCGCGTGCCACACAGCAGAAGCTATCGTCGCCGCCATTGGTTGTCACACCCGTCGGCAGCGGCGGCGGCGGCGGCAACGCTCCAAATCCATCAACAGCTCCAGCTGCGCCCACCAATTTCTCATACTTTTCCAGTGGCTCAGCCAGTGGCGGCAGCAGCAGCAACAGCAGCAGTGGCGGCGGTGGTGGCATTGTCGACACGCACAACAATATCAGTATTAGCTGCACAAACGTTTCCCTGGGCAGTCCTGGTCGTCTGGTGGGTGATGCGGCCGTCATTGCCCGTCCAAAGCAGGCGCAGAAATGTTTGTCCGCCATTGGTAGCGAGCTGAAGCAGAAGACCAAAGACAACAACTCGTCCGCGTCGAGCCACTGGTCCAGCTTTGGCCAGCCAACAGCATCGGAGTTTGGTGCCGCCGGTCCAGCGGGCTCCACGCTCCAGGAGAAATACCAACAATCGAGCTACTACAATGGCTTCGAGGTGTTCCCCTCGTCTGTGGCAGCTGGTGGCGCCGGGCCTGGTGCTCCTGGTGATTGTCACATGCATCATAATTGTGGCGATGATTCGCCGCCGCCAACCATCACCGGTTTCAATTCCTATCTTGAGGGCATACCAAACACTGGCGTCATACGCTATGACGATGCGGCGTTCCTCAAGAATTTGATACCGGGCCAGCATCTCAACAACGAGGTGCGTTCCTGCGAGCCACTCTGGCCAAGTCAAACGAATATGTTCCGAAAGGATCATGTGCCATTTGAAAAACTATCGCCAACATATTTCTCTTTCTATTCGTCTTAAATGAAGTTCGATATATGTACATTTATATATATATTTAAGTGGGTTTCTTGCTGTGCTATATAAGAGTCAGAGTCTTTTGAGTTTCATCACATATTTATATGCATCAAAAATATTTTGGTGTAATATAATTTTTGAGAGCATTTTAAGAATTGTGATTGTTATATTTTATTTAGTTCCTCCAGTTTTTTATAACAATCAAATTGTGAAAGTTAAGAAAAAAAAATATTTAAAATATTCAGTTCAATTATATCGATTAGTGAAGTTTAAAAATCATATAGAAAACTGTTGAAAATTCTGATTTTTGTTTCATCAATTTTTCGATGTTTTTAAATTCTAATTGGAATGCACAGAAAGAACTTAGCCAATGCGAATAATTTGAGAGCTGAGAAATATTAAAACATTTTATATGCATCAAAAGTATATATTTTAGGCTATAAACTTGCTCTGTAACTTGCGTTCCTTTCTATTAGTCAGAATCGCCGAGCGACCTCATATTTCTCCCGATTTCGATCGTTTGCAGTTCTGATTAGAGTTTTTATGCAACTGATCAAAGATAAGCCGAGGCATAAAAATGTATAACAAAATTCTGAAACATAGAATGTTTGCATCCAGCTTTTCTTCATTCTGATTGGCATATAAAACAATTTAGCCATTGCGATTAATTCGTTTCGATGCGACTTCGATAAATCCTTTATTAATTTGTATACTTTTTCTCACAGGTCTCCATACACAACATATCGGAGTCCAACTTCACGCGCAACAACACATCCCCATCGCCACATCACGTGGAGATAACAACCGTGTTTGGCAATCGCTCGTGCTCCACAAATGCCTACGAGCAACAGCAGTCATCGCAGGCCAGCGCCTGCAACAGCTACTGCGACAATGTGGCCGCCGATTTTGGTAGTGGTAAGTCCCATATTGAATCCTGTCTCAGTTACACACATTACTCAAGTGCACTTTATGCTCTGCAGACTCCAGCCACCTGTTTGTGCAAGGTAATATGCTGACACGTTTACCACAACCGTCCGCGGCGGCGGCACAGGATCCCTTTGGCTATGACTTTGAGCCGGCGCCTGGCTCAAAGCCCGCCAGCGTTGGCAGCGACTTGAATGAATTCTTGCGTCGCAGTCCGCACAGCCAGCGCACGTCCCCCTACAGTCACGACGAGAATGTGGCACTCGAGGCATTTGTGCAGAACATGAGCGCCCTTCAAATAGCAAGCGCCGCGGCTAGCGATGCGGAACAGTGCGCGCGTCTAAATGGAGCAGCAGCCGCTGCGGGAGATGCGGCCGTAGCAGATGCAACAGCGGGTGGCGGTGGAGTTGGTGCTACTTGGTGGTAAAGTGGCAATGACCATGACAACTGTTGCTTCAATGTCAACAATACAAACACAAACACACACACACAAACATCGTTCACATACATCCGCGCGCCCGTGTTGGCCAACATAACGCAAACATTTCATTGATAAGGCGAAAACAAAAAGAAAACAAAAAAATACCCTTTGAAATCATTAAAAATGGCTTAGATGTCAATTGCGATGTTTCAGAAAGCAAAAAATACAAATAAAAGCAAATTAAATTAAATGGAACTCGATTTTCGGCTTTATTCTTCATACAATTTGCTGCTAAAAATTATAATTATAAAACTTGAATTTCAGCTACAAAATCCAACGCAACTAAATAAGCCTAGACAAAATACTTTTTGTTTTCATTGTGTTTTTAATTCTCAAAGATGAGCGAACCGGAGGCGTAGCTAACACTGGAATCCTCCATGTCCAGGCACTGGCTGCTCTGCGCGTACTTGAGAAATTTAAAGCTCATATTTTTAAATCCCTGATCCTGCAGGGCTTTAATAGCGCCTAGCATAACGCCAATAGGATGACGTCCGCATATCGTATTATTATATTTGCGCAAGTACTCTGTAAACGCTGCCGGGCTAAGCTTCTCGATGATGTCCATACCCTGCTTGTCCAGCTGCTCGATGCACTTGTGTATAGGACCGCAGGAGCGATCATAGTATGTGTAACTGAAACGTTGGCCCCAATGGCAAAAATCGGAAGATATCACAAATAGATTCGTTGGATCCATAAAATAATTGGCCAACAGGCTGCCATACTGTGCCTCCTGCTCGGGATTCAGTGAACCGACAATTATAGGCACAATGGTGAACTGGTCCTTAAAGCTGAAAGTGTTTGAAAGAAAATATATAAAATGTATTGAAAATTTGATTTTATATTAAAATGGGCAGCTGCTACTTACTCCTCCATTACTTTGGCTATGTAAGGCAAATGCATTTCTATGGAGTGCTCATCCTCGTCAGATTTCATGTCCATCCAGGAGAACTGACCCGTCTTTTCCAGCTCGGCATTGACTGCAATTGTTGTTAATACAATGTATTAAATAATATTAATATAAATCAAACTACTTTCAGATCTCGCACCTTGCGTATCAATTTTGAGATCATATAATGGTGTCCTACACTTTTTCGCTACCGATAGGGCACAGCCGCGTAGTCGTACATGATGCGATGGACCCAATATGAATATGCGTTTACTGCAGAAATCAAGAAAGGCATCAGCTCAGTGGCATATGCATTCTGTCTGGCTTAGATTCCACTTACACGACAACGGGGCTCACTTGGCGATAGGCAAATGCACCGCAGGCACCACAATAAGCATAGCCGGCATGTCTAAAACATTAATTAATATATACAAAAAACTGAGATGCCAATTCGGTTAGTCAATCAGACTTACGGTGCAATAATGGCACGCGCCGGTCCATGCGACAAGTCTGCAGCACCCAGCCAGCGATCCAATTGCCTGGAGAGATCCGAGCCTGCAAAATATAATAAATAAAGGTAGACTCATTATATATCACTATATTAAATCTTTTTTAACGGCTCAGCAGTATCGTTAGGCAAGGGTAATTTTTCGATTAGCCTAGGGAAATTCACTAGGGATAGTTGAAAAATGTAACAATCTTTTTTAATCTAAAGTAATCATTTGTTTATTCAATCGTTTCTTACTATTAAGACTAAAGCTGGGACCATTTGAAAAAATTGTGGATTTTTTTAGAATGCGTTCGGGATATTGTGGAGTGTTGGAAATTTCGACCACCGTTTTAGGGATAGTGATATATGGAAAATTCCTTAATTAATTTAAATATGTGTACATTACAGTTCAAGCTAGCTTCATTTGATTTAGGGAAATTCGAGATCTGTTTTTAATATGAGGTTTAAAAATCATTGATTGATTTATCTGCATTCAACATACGGATTAAGTATAGGTATATAAGTGTAATTTCTTCTTTTTAGTTTTATTCGGCATTGATTTGTATTTAAATTTATATTTAGATTAAAGCGGAAATTGGTTTCAATTAAAATTAGAAATATATTCGAGTTATTTCAATTAAAACTCAGGGGATATTAAATGGTTATGCATGTCGGAACTCAGTAAGCCCGGGGTTGCCTAGAAACATAACAAACAAGTTTCCTTGTATACATATTTCAAATTTCAGTTTTGATTAAACTGCGCTAACAATATACACGAAAATCATAATATTAAATTATATTCATATTATATTGTATTCAAATTTAAGTTGCTCGCAAATATGGATAAAGCTAAACAAAGCGATGAGCTATTACTTCGTATACGAAATGAGCTGACAGCCATTCTGGAGGAAAAGTGAGTACCACATATAAGATATATATGTATTACAAATAGATCAACCTTTATGTTGATTCCAGTAATAGCAACGATCCGAAGCGCAGGATTTCATACGAGGATCTTATGAAACCTACACCGCTGCCCTCTTTGGAGCCTAGCAAAAACAAAAAGAAAAAGACTTCGAGTAAATTGCAAATATATCATAATCCTCAATCGCATCGCCAGTCAATTGGTGGCAAATCGATTACCATGAAGCCATCGAATGCACGCCTGAGCGCTGGCCAGAAACCGTCTAGCGAAGAGTTGTCATCATCAACATCGATTGGTACATCGAGTGCTACATCGTTCCGAGACATGCTGCCCACCTTGGACCACAGTTTAACTGCGGAGTTTCTGGAGTCTCAGAGTGCTAAGTCCATAGATGAGGATATGCAGAAAATGCAGCTGGAATTGGGCAAAAGCTATGAATTGTTTCAGGACATTGGTGAGAAATTTGAAGCAATCAATTTTAGTGGTCTCAAGTCACGCATACGCAACTTAAATTTAAATAATATGCCAAGTGATATCGGCAAAGCCACAACTAACGAGCTACAGAAAATGTTCGAGTCCAGGTTCGTCCAGAATCGTTTGGACAAGTTAACCGCAAATGTAGTAGACGATTTTCGCCGTCATCCCGGCGAATTTGGCGATATACCCGAACTGAGCAAATTCTTCCAGGCCTGCTCACAACTGGAGCACGGTCTGGACACCCTGAAGCAACAGCGCAAGCGCACCAACGAGCTGGAGAAGCGTATGTGTTGGGCCACTGAGATCGCCTACGATCGCATGGCGGAAATTCGCAATTCAGTGGGCGACAAGCCGGAATCTAATTTCTAGGCAGGTTTCACATTTTAACAATAACATTGTTCAGATAGTAAAGATATATCTAGAACGGTAAAGCTTGTAATAGCTGGAATAAATATATCTTGTGAAGAACATACATTTTACCGATAAATAGTACCGAGTAGTTCGATTCAGCAACAAGCATACAAAGCTATGCCAAAATTTCTATCCAATATAAAATGAGAAAATAATATTCTTTTAAAGATTACAAATAGAAAATCTTTCCATTTTCTGCATTGTGCTTAGCCTGCAAAAGTGGGCTTGGAAAATAATAATAAAACTTATTTGATTTCTCAAGCATTTTGTAAATCAATTTAAGCCAGTCTCTTATAACCTATGCAACTCATCCAATTTTTTTCTATTATATTGCTTGAAGAACAAAAGGGTCAAAGACATCGATATAAAATAATTTGTTTTGTTACCGGAATCTGTGTACCAGCTTCCTGCGTGCGTTGCTCTCCTGACGGACATGTTGATTTTGGTGCTGTGCGTAAAATAAGCCTTCGAAAATAATTTTTGTTAAGCCAAATTAATTAATTTTCCACGCCCGCACTTGTCTTTGTGCCTCTTCGTTTTATGCAAAAGTCACGGAACACAAATACAAATGCAATGTGCATTCTTTGACATCGAAAGCAAGTACTTATGTACTTATCGTTATCGATACCCGCGCCAGTATCGTCCAAACCCAACGCAAGTCGCATCAAGCGTTGCGCGTTTGTTAGTCGGTCTTACTTTAATATTTAAAGTTTAAATAGCGCCGAAAACATTTTCGTGTCCAATTAGTGTGAGTGTAAAAGGAATATGTTAACATTTTGGATTAATTAATGTGTCAGAGCAATTTTTATGTGGTCATTTGGCATTGCGTTCGCATCTGAGTGTGCACTAGAGCGTAAACATGAGAATGGTTGTTATGCGCTAAGAAGAAGCATAAAAGAGAATATATTTTGTGCAAGTGGATGGAAAAGAAAAATTTTGTAGTTAACAGTGCAATTCGAAATAAATCGTACAAAAAGAGTACGCAATATATTGTCAGGTGTGTTAAATAAGATCCAATATCAGTGTTCATATACATTTACATATATTATTAGTAATACGCGGCAAATGAGTAGCATCGCGGCAATGAGTAGCATCGCGTCATTGCTGTACTAAAACTAAAAATTGCCGTATTCGTATTCCGCCATTTTGAAAGCTGCGAGTCAAAAGTGGAATTTGGACGCGTTGCTGGTAAAAAAAATTGTTGAAAAATATATAAAAAGTACACCGATTTTATGAAAAATGCATGGAATTTGTTAACAAAGCTAGCCGGCAAATGTTTGTCTATGAATTGTGCGTTTGGCAATGTGTTTAGCACGTGAATTTTGTGCAATTACAAAATCGCAAAAACGCGAGAGCCGCGGCCGCCACCGTCGCTGCCGCCGCCACCACAATGAAGAAAAACGAAATGAAAAATATATAAAAAATGAAAAACTAGTGCGCTGTTGCTGCAGCAAATTTAATAACAAAAATATTTTGTATCTATACGCATTTTGTGCGGGTTGTACATCGTCACTTAATCTTTAATATGGATAAATGTATGCTTCTTCTTTTTGTTTTCGGCCAGCGTGTGTATGCTTATGAGTCTCTCTATAAGTGTGTGCGCGATAAACGTGTACAAGAAAAAAATTTAAACGTGCCGAATTTCGTTTGAATTTTTAAAGCCGATGTACACGCGCTTATATATATGTTTACTTATATATATATATATTAAGTAGCGCTGCTAAGTAAGCCAGTGTGTATAAGAGTGTGTGTTTATGCGAAAAAGCGAGTGATAGCAATAAATAATATTTTATTGTTGCCAGTACGCAAAACATAAATAAATTGTGCAATAATGTTTGCCATACAACGCGCGCGCACAAACACACGCAATATTTACACCAATTTTTGCATGTGTCAGTGTGAGTGTACTTGTTTGCGTGTGTGTGTTGATTTTTGCCCGATGCCGAATGACAATATACACGCAAGGTTCACTGCGCAACGCCCCTGTACCTTTCAAATCCACCACTCCCCCGCCCCACACTTGTGCAACGTGCTGCCTAACGCCGATGCTGCTGCTATGTCTCATCGTTGTTATTTTGCCGCCGCCACAGTTTTGTTCGAGTGAACAAACAAACCAGCGGAGCAAGCGAGAGAGAGCTAGCGGACCTAAAGTCAGCCAAGCCGTGAGGTCTCCGCCAGCCCTTCCAGTAAGCGAATGACATATTTCAACAGCATTTCTGTTGCTGTTTGCTGCGCCGCGTCGGGTCGCGCCGAGCTGCGTTTGTTTGTTAAGCCCAAAGAGTTTCGAATCCTTTAAAGGGTGAAAGTGTATAAATTTTCACTGTACTTGAAAGTTCGTGCAAATCGTGTGAGCGAGACGAAAGCTTTGAACACTTTAAAAACCCGTTAAAGCTTCTTGCTCTCTGAGAACGGGTGCGCATTAAAGTTTCTGTTTCTGTTCCCCTTTCGAAATGGTCTGGTCAGCCCGTTTTGTTCTATAAATAAATACCGCCTGCCGTTTCATTGTGACTTTGTTCCCAGTGGCCTGCAACACCGCCACCGCCTGCATATTGATTGAAAAAAAAATAAATAAATAAAAACTTTTGCACTCTACACTCGTCTGATAGTCATATGGGTATTGGTAGTGGAGGTATCGATGCTAGTCCCGTTGGTCTGTGTATATGCACATTGTTTTTGTTTTGCAATTTATGCATACATAAATAAATAAATAGCTACAATGCGCGCACGTAAAAAAGAGTTTATAAAATGTTGCTGCTGTCGATGTCCATAAATATTTTACTCACACACACACAGTTGGAAACCCATTGCTATGTTGCCCTACCCCCCCCCTCAACCTTACCCTTGTAGGCCAATGAAATTGGCGCTTGTTTCTAGTTTTATTACATTTTTTCGCTTGTCATGTTTTCCATCGTTGTTTCGTTCTGGCGCCCCTGCTGTACCCGTCCGCGCACACATACATACAGATACATTTTTGTTCGCCTGTCTGCGCTGTGTAATCATATATATGTATATATTTTTTTTGTTGGCACCGCCTGCCCCTATCCAGTTTGTGTCTATTTCGCATTTTGCATTGTTATGAATTTTCTCTTTCTCTAACGATCATGATTTTTATTTATTTTTTGGTTAGGCAAGTGGCAGACTAGACAAACTCGAGAATTATCTTGGGTTTTCTTCTTTCTTGTACATATATATAAAAATATATTGTCCATTAATTTTGAACCTGAAAAATGCCACTCGAAAATTTTCCTTTGGCCCACTCAAATAAAGAACAATAAAGGTTTATTGTGTGCAGTTATGTGTGTGTAGTTATCTGCTATCAATGTGCATGCAGTCGTGCTCTCCTTTCTACCCATCCCCAGCCCCGTTACAGCTATCGTGCGCTTATCATTTTGTGTTTGTCGTTCATTACCGTTTGTTTGTTGCTGGCTGCCAATGCCTAAAAAAAGCAAAGAAAAGCAGACCACACACCTGCGACAGGAATTTCACACATTGAAAATTGCAAAACAAAGAGCACTAAAATAGACCGCAATCGCTTAAACTGTATTTCCTATGAAACAAATTTAAATATAAATACAGTGAAAGCTTTCTTAAGCAGACACACACAGTTCAAAGAAATAAAGGCCTTAAAGATAGAAATAACAGTAAAACAGGAAATACTCCTCTAATAATATTTTTTTCAAAATAATACATTCCTATTTGTGCTGTCTTAAAAATAGTTGGATTAGATATCTGAGCACAGATTGACAATAAATAGTGTTATTAATTGCAGACGGCCTCTAAAATAGCCCGAATTTAGCGGGAAAATAGCTGAATTGGCAACACTGGTAGCGGGTGCTGTCCATTAGTAAAGCTTTAACTGTACATCTGTATGTATGCACGAAACATTTAAAATAAATGTGCAAACATTTCTTGCTATTGCAATGTGTGTGAGGGGTTGGAGAGGGGGCTTGCTTGTACTGCCTCGCTGGCTGCTTTGTATCATCGATCGATCTGTGGCCAAATTCACTGACGCGCTTTTAGTCTAAATAAAAACATATAAATCAACGCAATACACAATTTGATTGTTGTGCCAAATGGTTTTTAGCAGCAGCAGCTGGCCAAAAGCTAAAAGCGTGCGAGCGAATATAAATTGTTTTGACCAGAGTGACTTGCAATGCTTGCAGTTTTTTTTTTGTGTAAACTCTTTGTTTTTTTTTTATTTACGTCATTCAATCTAAACACAAAGAACTGTTTATTACACACAGCAACATACATGCAGACAGTAAAAACAAAAGAAGCTAGCATTTATGCAAAATGCAAAAAAGCACAACAGAAAGCTTTGCTTAAAACGGATCGACAGCAGCTCTGCCGGCTTCAATGCTAATTCATTAGCAAGCCGAAGTAAAAAGCGCGCCAAATGCGACGTCACGGAACGAAACCGTTAATTCAAAGAAAAAACAAGTTAAGAGCAAGCGAGAGCAAAAAAGATAAAACTTTTGCAGTCGCACTGGCAAATGCAATCAAGTCACTGGGTACAGTACAACTTCACTGAAATAATATATTAACATGAAAAACTGCCTTGGCTAAAATGTTTATCAAAAATAGTTAAATTTTTCTTTATTGATTTAAAGCCAACACTGGCAGACTGTAATGGTGGTAAAGTGCATCATGTTGTAATTTGTTTGTCTGTTTTGCAGGTCCTTATCCCCCCAGACCTGACCCCGACTTGAGCGGAAAGCACACACAACTCGTGCTTTCCTATCTCTCACACACTTACACTCGCACTCATTCTCTTTTTGTGTCTCTGTCTCTTTCCCGCTCTCTCCCTCTCTTTCGCACTGCTTGTTCTACGTATGACTGTTGACTGTTGCAATGGCGTCATCAGCATCAGCGCTTTAAAAAGTTTTTGCCTGCCCCAAGACTCACACTAACACGAAGAATTGAATTATACGTAATTGTGTGTGTATGGATGTGTCTGTAGAGTGTACAAATGCGCATGACTTGTAAATATGTATATTGAAACGTGTTCCTTACACACATACACACGCACACACACACACAGTCGACTCGCATTGACTTGTCGGCTCGAGCCAATGCTTCGTTTTCGTTATTATGGCATTAAGCCAACAAACAATTTAAGCCAACATGAGTTTTTCCTGCCTGAAAAATTGTGGCAAAAAGAAAGACAAAAACAAATGTGCTCTATTCTAGGCTGCCTGACTAAGAAATACCCTGTACGCACGCACGTGTATACCAAATATCAAAGCTTAAACGTTAGACATGACTTATTCTTTTCTTTATTAAAGTAATTGTTTTTAATCTGTTTATGATAACAAGAAAGTACATATCAATTTATGTAACTTTGGCTCATTGTCGAGAAAACTATAACAAATTTAGAAATTTACAGAATATATAGATAAATGAACTGTCAACCAGGTAGACAGATATTTTTAGAGCAAATATGTTAATTAACAATAATTTTAGTTAAGCAATGTCTCTCCACCTGTTAAATACATTTGCACCACAATAATACACCCATTATCAATAGATACAGGGAATTAAAACAGACACACACACACACACACATTGAAAGTGTACTTTTGCTGCTTACTGTTGGGGCTGTTATCGTGTGTCGCTGGGTTGATAAACCGGTTTACTGTCTTGGCTTGGTTTGGCTAAAAAATGAAATAAAGAGATACAATACACCAATCGCCATCGCAGTTTGTGTGTTCTTAGTTCAACTTTTTGCTTGCTGCTGTTAGACAGCCGGCGGCTGTTGCGGCTGCTCAGCTCAGGTAGCAACAACAACAACAACAGCAACAAAAAGAACAACAATAGTTCAGCAGTGAAATGTATCTGCTAGATACGCGGCCAACATTTACTGTACACTCATCTGCGGCGCTTGAGTTTGTGATTTATGTATAATTGTCTGTGATTTACTGTTTGTGTGTATTCATTTTGATATACCAATGCGGCTGTGTGCGTGCGTGTGTATACACACACAAACACACACACATCAACAGGTTTTTTTCTTTTCGACTTTCTCAACTGCGTGGGCGCATGAACACGTTGCTGCATCCTGTGGCAGTCGCACAGAAGTTGCTGCCACTAGTTTTTTTGGTTCACTTGTAAAACTGGTTTTTGGCGCGCTTTCAAATATGTTTTGACTCGGTCTGCGGCTTCCTTTCACTGTTAAATTGTGTTGCCACACAAATTTCGTTCGAAAAATATATAATTCAACTTAATTGCTCGCGAAAAAAAAAATGAAAAAACCACGCGCAATCTTAAGAAATAATCGCAAATGTCTCGAAATTTGTTTTAAAAATAAACAAAGCATAGCCATAGCTCTGCTTGGGTGAATGTTCGATAGGGAATAGTCGGGAGGAGGCGTGTGTGTGTATGGCATATACCACACACATATATCACATACTATATGTATATATGTCATAATTGCGTCGCGTATTTTATTTTTCGTGTTAGCCACATTTGTTATTATCTGAGCATCTGTGCAATTCTATTTTCTCTGTTTATACCCTGAACTCATTAAAAATGGGTATAAGGGTATATTGTATTTGTGCAAAATCCAAATGTATGTAACAGGCAGAAGGAAGCATCTCCGACCCCATAAAGTATATATATTCTTGATCAGCATCAATAGCCGAGTCGATCTAGCCATGTCCGTCTGTCTGTCCGTCCGTCCGTCCGTATGTATGAACGTAAGGATCTCAGAACCTATAAGAGCTAGAGACTTGAAATTTTAGATGTAGATGCTCCTAGCTCCCGCGCAGATCGAGTTTGTTTCCGATAATCGATAACTTAATCCGTTTCCAAGCAATCGATAAAAATCTATATCGATATCCTGTTTTTTGGGCAATTTTGGTAAATAATAAGAGCTAGAGTCACCAAACTTGACATAAAGCTTCTAAAATGGAATATATATATATATTTGATGTTGGAAGAAGAGGGTTCAGGGTATCCCCTAGTCGCGAGCTCCCGACTAGAACCTCTCACTTGTTCTGCTTGACATTGCTATTAATATGATTATGGTTATTATTGTGCTGGTATGTGGTTGTACAGTGGTCCATCGCTAAGTGGAATACTTTGCTAAAATTGAATTTCTACTAGCTCTACCTTCCATACAAAACTAATGATTAAGAAAGAAGCCGGCGTCGTTCGCTTATCGGGGCCTCGAACCCTAAACCTCGTGGCTAGAATTGAAAACTGCTGCTTATTTGAACAGGCGACCTCTCGCTTATTAGTTCGACGCGCAGATACCAATCCTGTTGATGTTACTCAGTCAGTCAGGATAAACTCTTGTTTGTATATTGATTAATAATTCATATTTGTAAGCGCTATGAATCGTGTTGTCTGTATGAATCTCATTTGCAAGCCCTTTAACGCATTCTTATTTCTGTAATTTCCCATTCACGAGAGACATCTGTATTCAGTTCTGTTCAGTTTTGTTGAGTCGAGTCAATTGGCTTTATACGTGATGTGGCAGCCCCATTTGTCTGGTCTGTGCATTTTATGTGTTGCGACACACTAAAGTATCTACACTTGATGGCTTATCAATTATTTTTAAATGTGTTTACCACTCACAGATGTGAATAGTCGTGCTTTATTTGTCTCATAATCATGTATCAGCAAACTCTTAATTGCACCAATTTTTAGCATTTATTGCCATTGATTATGAAATCAAAATTCTTGAGAAATTCAAAAGAAAGATCAAAGATATTGATTTATTTGGTAGAAAAGTCGCCCGGATAATTTGATTCGAACTTCTAGAAATATTCCTTAATTTGTATTTCGTGCTTCAAATTGAAGCGACCTTGCCAATTAAAAATATTATTATATTCGCACCTGGCTTAACACAAAATACTCGATCGCATTGTCGTTTCGCTTATCACGCTCCGGGCTGTGCCAGATACAACGACATTTTTCTATCCTGTTCTATTGCGTTTGATAAGATACGGAAAAAAGAACACGTCAACTAATCCAAAAATCAAATACAATAGAGCAATACCTGAATTGCTGTTGCGGTTGTTACTTGTTGTTACTGTGCCTTGTTGTCCGTCTAATCAAAGCAAACGATGTTGATAAGCGCACACTGGGAACCTCAAGGAACCCATGGAACAAGGGGGCAATGCCATACACACTATATCATGATGTTAATGTGACGATAGCAGCAGCTGCTCGTCCAACAACAACATTCTTTCATACACGAACAATAACATGAGACATACTGCTGACCCAGGCCGTAGCGTTAAATTTCTATGTTCTTGCAGCCCCCTCCCATCGAGCAGCTGGCGGCAGTCAGTGGACTGTGATTGGAATTGGTAAGAGGAGGGGGGTTTTGTTGAGGCAGAGGAGCGTACGTTGCAATCAAATAGTATCTTTATCGCTGACGATTGCGAAATCCAGGCGAAACTTGTCATCGGTGAATATTGTGCTGACACTAGCGCGATTTGTTAGCGATTCGTAAGCGATTTGTTGTTTGTACTTTGACATCAGATTTCATGTTTTTCCATTTAATTTGCAAATTGTATTAATGTGTCTCTATGTCTGTGTTTGTTTTATTTTTTCTGGTATATGTAATAAATTCTCTTTCTTTAATTTTGTAATTGCAGGATTCTCGATTTCAATATGAAGCGCCAAAAATGATTGCAATGTGTGAATCGTCGTCTTGAAAAGGTTTTGTTTCCGTTGATTGAAATTAAAGCAACTGCAACACGCAACGAAGAAGCAATTGCGGCACAAAAACAAAATAAACAGACACAACACACAACAACAACAACAATAAGAATTAAAGTTTTAAGCAAAGAGATTTATTTCTTATATATATATATATAAATAGCATACAAACAAAAAGTAGTATCCACAATAAAAACAACAAATTTAATATGGATAAAAATCTTATGATGCCGAAGCGTTCGCGCATAGATGTTAAAGGCAGCTTTGCCAATGGTCCGCTGCAGGCGCGACCGTTGGTGGCGCTGCTGGATGGACGCGATTGTTCAATTGAGATGCCCATACTAAAGGATGTGGCTACAGTGGCCTTCTGCGATGCACAGAGCACATCCGAAATACACGAGAAGGTGAGCAGTAAAAGAGTTTTTAACACACAATCAACAACAGGCAAAATAATTATTATTGTATTGTTTCCAGGTGCTAAACGAAGCAGTTGGCGCCTTAATGTGGCACACCATCATCTTGACCAAGGAGGATCTTGAGAAATTCAAAGCTTTACGCATCATTGTGCGCATTGGCAGCGGCACAGATAACATTGATGTTAAAGCCGCTGGCGAATTAGGCATTGCAGTATGCAATGTGCCCGGCTACGGTGTCGAGGAGGTGGCAGACACAACAATGTGCTTGATATTGAACCTATATAGGCGCACCTATTGGCTGGCGAATATGGTGCGAGAGGGCAAAAAGTTTACGGGTCCCGAACAAGTGCGAGAGGCGGCACATGTAAGTGCAAGGCAAAACGAAACCATCTTTATATATGTATATTAATATTTACATGACCGTAATGTTTGCAAATCTTTCCAATAGGGCTGCGCACGCATACGTGGCGATACTTTAGGCTTAGTTGGTTTAGGTCGCATTGGCAGCGCTGTAGCGTTGAGAGCAAAAGCATTTGGCTTCAATGTTATATTCTACGATCCCTACCTACCCGATGGCATTGACAAATCTCTCGGCCTCACACGCGTCTACACGCTCCAGGATCTGCTATTCCAGTCCGACTGCGTCTCACTGCATTGCACGCTCAACGAGCACAATCATCATTTAATCAATGAATTCACAATTAAACAGGTATTTAATCGAAGCATTCCATTTCTATATATTTAGCAATCAATTAATAAATCTCCATTTAGATGCGACCTGGTGCATTTCTGGTGAACACCGCCCGCGGCGGTCTGGTCGATGATGAGACCTTGGCGTTGGCACTGAAACAGGGTCGGATAAGAGCAGCCGCATTGGACGTGCACGAGAACGAACCATACAATGTATTTCAAGTAAGAGATTGTTGTAAAACGAAACATTTTACGCAATCTGAGACGACGCCCCCGCCACGCTAGATATGTTTAATACTAAACAAAATTATTTTCCGATTCGGCTTGCAGGGCGCACTGAAAGATGCTCCAAATCTGATTTGTACACCACACGCCGCCTTCTTCAGCGATGCATCCGCAACGGAGCTGCGCGAAATGGCAGCCACCGAAATACGACGAGCGATTGTCGGCAATATTCCAGAAGTGCTGAGGAATTGCGTTAACAAGGAGTACTTCATGCGCACGCCGCCAACCACTGCGGCCGGAGGCGTTGCGGCGGCTGTTTATCCCGAAGGTAAACTACAAATGATATCAAATCAAGAAAAGTAGTAGGAGGCTTAAACAGATGCCAGGGAGAGAGCGTTACAAACAACATAACAAAAAGAAAAAAGAAAAAAACATTAAAAACAAAAAACCAGAAACAGTAACAGAAATCAGAAATCGTTTAAACAATCACAACCACGCACAACCACACACATTAACACACACACACACACGTGCGCACATTTATGTAGCGAGCGTCTACATATATACATACTTCTATTCTTCTGATTCATTTCAAAGCACACATACATATAAATACATATATAGAAAGTGAGAAAGGCGCGTTGAACCAAGATTTCAAGAGCGCCCGCTAAAGTTGATATATAAGTTAAACAGTTTAAGCTATATAAATATATATATATACATATATATATATATATATATATATATATATAGATATTTAGCAGTGGCTTAGGGCCGCAACACGAACATGAATAGTGGATGTTGATGAGTAGAAGGTTTAGAGCGCGACCGATGTTGGGTAAAGATTTATGAATGATTATACATATGCATATATTTATATAGCCAGATATGTGCATTATAAGCGATACAAACTGCAAACTGCTTAGCAATGTAACGACTTTTTCGTACTAACTCAAAGATACATTCAAAAATATACCATACGAAGGAATTGGTCTTAGGGACTGATACAGTTGGGTCTCATGCAGAAGAGCGACCAGATTTTGGGAATTTATTTTACTTTCGTTTCTTTTTTTAGTCCCTTTATTTTTTACAAAGTCCAAACTATCTTAAATAATTTTGTTAAAGCACAGTGTATTCAACATGGTTTTATTTAGGATTTGAATGCTATATATTTATTGAAAAAGTCTTTGTTTGTCCTCTCAAAAATAAACTTGGTCCAGACTTCGAAAGTTGTCAGCGTTTCTAGCAAGCCTAAACCCGTAATTTCTTTGTAGATTGTTCAAAAGCAATCTATGCGTATTTAGATATGTATGTATGTATGTTTGTATATATGTTTACATATGTATACATAACTCATAATTACTTACAGCAAAAAGGTGAAAGTAAACAATTTGATGGATTGTTGTTGTTAATTGTTTTGAGACCCTGCCTCACACATTTAAAATAACTAACGATCTATAAAAAAATATAATAAAATAAAATAAAACTCAACAGATAAATTATTAGAAAACCAATGTAAGAGATTTTGTTCAAGCACACATATTTATATATACATATATCGTATTATACGTTGTAATATTTACTAACTAACCAAGCGAGAGAAAATTTAATATTATATATCTGTAGCTTCCAAATGCCTCCAAGTTTTGTAGTTATCAAGCGAAAGCGTATTATTTATAAGAATCCACTGATTTTGCGCCATAAATTACTGACTTTCTTTAAGATATATAGATATATATATATGCGAAACAAATTGAACATTTGTAAAAATTATGCGTTTCACGATTATTTTTTGCTCAAAACACTGCTCTATAAAATGCAAAATGATCTCATCATCCGTGTTTATTTTCGCCTTGCGTAAAGATCTTTAGTATGCTGACACCAGAACGGAAGTAATTGTTTAAATACCTTCACAAACATATGCAGACAAGAATTATAAAAACTACAACACGGCGCGTTAACATAAACAACATCTATAAATAAATATAAAAAAGAGAGAACATTAAAAGTAATATTAATTCATAGTCTATGTACATTTAAACATAACAGAAATTATATTAAAACAAAGCAAATTACAAAAAAAAATACTATTAAAAAATTAGATTTACATAATTGAGGAGAAAATAAGATATAAAAAAAACAGCACATTATGATCAACCGAGTAGTCGGTATATCTAAGAATTGTTAGCGTGTAAAATGTAATATTTACAAAAAAAAAAACAAAAAAAAAAACGGCGCAAAGTATCATTTTGTAAAATTTTTGCAACTTTAGTTAATAATTAAACAATTAATGCAATTGACGCCAACTTTTTTAAAATTATTAATTTTCGCTCAAGACCAATATCAGCATAATTTACAAAATATTCCTTAAATAAAAAAGAAAGAAAGAACAAGAAAATATTCACTTTCATAAGAAACGCATCAAGTTTTTTGTTTTTGTTTTTTCATTATGTATTCTGTTTGGTTTAAAGCAATAAAAATTTGTTAAATTTCAAGCACATAACATATACGCATAGAAACACACAAATATTAATATATATATAAATATTTATATATATGTATATATAAATATATATATATATATAGCTACACATACGCACAAACTGAAGCCTAGACACACACCCCAACACACACACATCTTTAACACACACGATCCTACGAGTATATATAACAAGCTGCTACAAAATGAAAATGAGCAAAAGAAAGAAATTAATAATAATAAGCGTAAAAGTAAAAGTAAAGAGACAAAAAGAATAAAATACTGTTATTTTGTAATGTATAAAAATATTTTTAATAACTGTGAAAGCTAAATAAAATTAAACAAGAAACAAACAAAAAATACAATTGATAAAAACAGAGCAAGTTAATTTCAAAAAAAGAAAAAAACCTTTCCAGAAAACAAAAACGCAAAAAATCTAAAAACAAATAACAAAAAAAAAAAAAAAAAACAAAGAAAAAATAACAAATAAAAGAAAAACTTTAAAGAACCAACTATTGTTGCTTTTGTGTGGCGCATTATTGCAAAATTGTTTAAAAAGTATAATTATATGATTTTAATTAATTTTTTAAATAATTTATGTTTAATTATTTTCTATTCAATGGGATGATGGCATCATTGAGTGCAGAGCAGAGCAAGCTTTATATTTAATCGAAAAACTATTTATAGTATATAGACTTAAAAATGTAGTAAGTGTTCTCTGTTGCGTAAATCGAAAGTCAGTAATTTATGAGCGTTGTCGGCCCACGGAATTGATAGCCTATTTGTATTTGTATAACTTAAGGCAAGGCAAACATCGCATCCATATTTGATTAGGGATTTAAGTTGTTTAGGCGCCTGTTCTGAACTCATTCGCATCATATCAGGTCCTTTCAGATTGACTGCTTTTTATAAGAAGTCAATTCTCCTTCCCATTCGCTACTTTAGCCACTTCTTAGACCACACGCAGCCACCACTCTATAATTGAAACTACCCTACATTAAACTCCCACTTTCCCAAATGAAAAAAAAAACGAAAGAAAGCAAACAAGATAAACAGCAACATATTATTAACTTTACCTAAATACCAAAAATACAAACAAAATCGAAATACAAAACAGGATTAAATGGCGGCTATTATACAGGCGCACTGCATCATCGGGCACACAGCACCACACCGCACGATGGTCCCCACAGTACAACAAATCTGGGCAGCAGCAGCAGCGGCGGCGGCACAACCAGCGCTGCTTTGATACCGCCACCGGCCGCTGGCAGCAACACTGTGGCAGCAGCTGCTGTCGCTGTGGCCGCCGCAGCGGCAGCGGCTGCTGCGCTCCTGCCCTCGCCGGTACCGCCACCGAATGCAGCAGCTGTGCCAACGGTGCCACATTTGTCGCCCCAAGTTGGTGGATTGCCGCTCGGAATTGTGAGTAGCCAATCGGTAGGTACCCCCCTCGCCCACCAGCAACAGTGAGTGTTGTATGTGTGTGTGTGTGTGCGTGCGTGCGTGCGTGCGTGTGTGTTGTGTGTGCGCGCGCGAAATATGTGTGTACCCGTGTACTGTGTGTGGTAATCCAATGTGTGTGCCTGTGCGTGCGTGTATGTGTGTGTGTGTGTGTGTGGTCTAGCTTGTGTTATTGTTGTTTCATGTTGTTGTTGTTGTTGATGTTGTTATTGTTATTGGTCATTAGTTGTTGTTTGCCTAGGCTAGGGTTTTACTAACACCTTATTTATTTTTTTTTTTTTTTTATAAATAAATACATATACATTATATTTGCTACTATATACATACAAACATACATACATACATACATAAGTGTGCACGTAACTATGCTGAATTTTATATTCTAATTCGTTTTACATCTTGCTTTTAGCACCTGAGTGCGCCCGACCCTAATAACCATCTGTCATCGAGCATTAAATCTGAAGTGAAGGTCGAGTCAACGGAAACACCGTAGGCTGCTGCATCCTTGCTGGAGGGAGGCAAACAAAAATAATAATATAAATAAATAAAATATAAAAAAAAAAAAAAAAAAAAAAATCCACAACAACAGCCACAAAAACTGGTGTGACAACGGGCCGCCGTGTGACAGGATGGAACTCACACAGGGAGTGGGCACAACAGGGCGGGGCTAGTGGCAGTCAACTACTATATTTGGATAAAACATATGTTTATAATTTGTTATAATGCCAATTTACAATTAACAATCGCCAATTGCCACATCCTACGGCTGCTCCTGTGTGCGTGTGCCACTGCGCCCAGCCTTTGATTTGAATTTTTTCCAAGTTTCTAAGTTTTAATTTAAAATACGATACATATTTGCATTACCAACCCAAAAAACAAACAAAAAAAAAATGAAAGAAGAAAACAAAAGAAAAAAGAACCTAAGGAGTATCCCTTCCCCCCCACACTCACACACTTCTATACATACACACACACCCACACACACAACACGCCTCAAAATTAACTACGTATGTATTTAGTATATAATTTGTAACTATTTAGAATTTTACAGTTACAATTTAAGACTTTTATTTGTATTGCAGCAAATTGTAAGAGAAAAATATGTTACCTACATATAAGCGCAAAAACAAAAACAAAACAAAAAAAAAAAAACACACACAAACATGTTGGAAAATTTTAACTTAAAAAAAAAAAACAAATAGAAAAGTGAGTAAAACAAAAACCCAAGATTCATGGCATACAAAAGCAACACACAAGAGAGACGTTTAGTGCTTAAGATACGTTTAAAGTACATAATAAAAAAAAACAAACGCAGTGTATAAGTATATATGTGTCATATGTGTACGTATGTATACATCTCTCAATGGCAGGATTGCGCACCCTTCCAAAATGGTTACTAGTTCGCTTCGCGGTTCGAGCAAGCCTGAACTTCCCGTGCCCAGTAAATGTGGGTTTGGTTTAGGTTTCGGTTCCACTCTAGTTTAAATGACTGACGACCGACTTTAATGTTCAAATCATGTTAAGAATAAAATCAAAGCCGATCGGTTTGCAGTTCTGCTCAATGGTTTGAACTATGAAGCCATGCCAGGACTGGACCAGCTATAATACGTTTACCAGTGAGAGGCATTGGAATAATGTGGAATCAAATCGAATGTGAGTCAAGTTATGTTAGAGCCAAGCGTGAGTTCCTGTACATCAGATGTATAGATGTCAGCTTTGTTAATAATTTTCTTATGAATTTGAATACGATCGAACGATGTACATTTATATGTATATACATATTCAAGGAAAGGTCCACCAGTACCATTCATATTTTCAATTTTTATACCCTTGTTTTTTTTAATGTCAAGAAATAATTATCTAAGTTTGTAAGATTCAAGAAAAAGTATTTATGAATATATCGTTTAACAGTTATTTTGATGCTTTCTGAAAACTTACGAAAATTTAGGGAACAAAACTCAAAACCATTTTAAGGGAAAAATGGTCTATGTATCAGTAAAAATCTTTTATGATATTACACTACATTCGTATAAAAGAATTAGAAGAAATGTTTACGAAATAATTATTAGTTAGAATCAGCATATTTCAAAAATACACAAATATAGGTTTGACTTATGAAATGCAGGTGCTTTTTGGAGATTTTGAAATTGTTCGAATTTCCTTTCTGCAACTAATTTACCGCCCTCATCTTGGAGCTAAGCTTACCCACTTTCACAAACTTCCACGAAAGGAAATATTAATCCTTCTTTTAAAATATTTGGCCAATCTGAAGTTGAAGTGCTTGGAAATTCAAAGATGACGATAAATGAAAAACACTTTTTGGGGGTATGTAAACTTTTATTTGAGTCAATTATACACGAAGGTTTAGACTTTTTCGGGTGGTATACTATTTATAATGCTACTTAATACCAGTTCTAAATGAGCACAAACTACGCAGCGTCAAAAACAATTTGGCTTGTATTTGTAATACCATTTTTACGATACAGTTCAAATGTGTGGGATATTGTTAATAAAGTATTTCTAGGTAGGTTTTATTTTATTTTATTTTTATTGTAAAAGTCTTCAATATAATATGCAACATTTAACACACGGTTATACTTCCAATATCGAAGGTCCATCACGTTTACACTTAATTTTAAGCGTTACCATCTAAATTTTCAGAGTTTTTACTACGGAATGAACAACATTTACATACATAGATTAAGTCGAAGATAAAGTATTGTAACTGCTTCGGGCAGACGGGCACGGGCACGTTCACATTTAGAGTTTTGTTTAAAAATAATTTTTTTTTTATACAATTAACATTTAAATTGTTTTTTTTTTAGTTAGGGTTTTTTTTAAGCCTGCCAGGAAACCATGTACACATGCAATTACGACGCCTAATTAACCGGACATTAAAAAGAAAATAAGACTCATGACTAATTCTGAGTGTGTGATGTTTAACAATTTAAAATTAAATCTGTTTGTAAAACAATTGAATCTGAATTGATATAATCGTATTCACAGTCGCAGTGTCTATTCAAGCCAAGTACATTATATAGTGGTATGTACATGTGCGTATTTATTCTCTTTTCAATAGTTTTGTATTTTGTTTGTTGGGTTTTTTAAACCAGGAATATGTTTGAATGTCTTTTTTTTTTTTGTTTTGCACACATATATATATATATTTATATGTATATATTTATGTGTTGTAAACACGTTCTATCAAAAGCATCAAGTACTCACAATACTTATCATATCGTCAACGCCCATACATAATTGATGCGGGCGTGTCACTTAAAATCGAGAAACAAAGTCAACAAAATCGAGAAACATGGTCCACAATCAACTTAAAAGAAACGCGTCAGACGCGGCCTCACAAAACGAAAGGCGCCATAGCAGCCCAGTCCGATGAGGCCATACTTGAGGGTATTCTTGCAGAGCCGCTGACTGAGGCTGGCCGGTGGTATTTCAAGTATGGCCGGTATCTTCTCGGGATCCACTTGGCCCCACATTTTTGCAATGCCATTTGCATGTCCAATGCCTACAACGCCAACGACACGCACGGGACGCACCTGATGGGCACCTGGCGCCGCCTGCGGCAGTGCAGCCAATTGCAGTGAGTGACACAAATAGAGATCACGTTCGCGTACGAACACATCCGAAAAGGCTGGAAATTCGCCAGCCATTTCCTGCATTAATTTCTCCAGCAGATCACGCTGCTTGCACTCCTCCACCTCCTCAATGCTGATACTATCCGTAAAGGTCAGACGCCAAACCAGCTTCATGGTTTGCCACAAGGAAAGGGCGCGCAGAGCACGATAAAGTGTGATGCGTATGGGTCGATCGCCCAGATGCAAAATGCAGCCGGGCAGCTTGTGTATCTCTTCGAATGCGCGTCGAAACTCACCGCCTGGGGCCATGCCCAGATCCTTGGCAATTTGTGCGCTCATCTGCAGCAGCAGAATAAAGAAGATGCCATTGATATAGCCATGGGTCTGCAGAATGCCGCGTATCTGCAGGATGATTACATAATTAAAAACCTATTATTTTAAAGATCTGCATGTTAAATACTTTGGGTATATTTATGTTTTTGGCCTCCTCCAACAGAGTCTTCTCATCGAGCTTGAGTATGTGTACACGGGATGGACATAGCTCAACCATGACCACATCTGGACGGACATTGCGAATGACCTGTGAGAAGAGAGGAAGAAAGATATTTAGCAGGTATTTAATTGGTTTAACAGCTGGACTCACATAAGAGACGTCATCCTGTGACTCCTCGCTAAAGTGTGCCGTGCCCACAAGATAGACCTTGCTGCCAAATGGTGTATTCAACAGGGTAACCGTCGAGGGTAAATTTTGGTCGAATTCCTCCAAAGTATCGTAGATGACGATTTCGCGCTTGGTTTGCGGCTGATCACTGTTCGATGTAGCCGCTGGCTCCGCTAACTGCAGTTGTGTGTCGCCGCCTCCATCCGCTGCTGCGGATGCTTCAGCTATAGATATGTCCAATTTTTGTTTGCTTGACTGCAGCAGGGTGTCGGCTTTGCGGCGTCGCTTTTCTGTTGCAATGTCCGGCACTTTGCTGGGTGACTTTCTCAGTATGTTCTTAAACTTTTCTACGGCCTCGTCGTTATGATCGGTCGAGAGGCGCTCGATTAGCACCACCTCTTTCTCTAGATCTTCCTCCTTAATGGAGTTCTCATTAATTTCTATAATTGACAAATTGGGATTATCGGTCTTAAATATTGTCTTATTGGCCAGCTGAGACTTTGGATCGACCTCCTCCTGCGATGTATTCGTATCTGTGCTCTCGGATTGTAATAACAGCATGCTGGCATTTATGGCCGCAGCATTAGTTGTTTGCGAGGTAGGAGCAGCTGAAAGCGGAGCATAGGTATTATAATTGGCTGCCTCGTTCCCGTTGCCCATGGCATTGCCGTTGTGGGCATCAAAATTCTCGACGTTTAACATTTTGTGTGCATAATTGGTGTGTCCTGCGCTTTGATTAAAGTCTCCATTGAGGCTTTCTGTGGGGTTAAATAAACGTGCCGATTAATAAAAAATATAAACACATATGTAAATGGTATAGAGATTAAGCTAGGGGTTCTGCGTCTTCTGCTCATAAAGGGTTTTCATTTCTGTCAAATACGACTTTATATACTCTGTATCTTTACAGTTCTCGATTAGGCAATGCTGCAGCAGCTCGAAACATTTGTGTTTCAGTTGTGAAACCTTTGCTTGATGGGCTCTCTCCTGTTTGGCCAGCTTCGCTTCATATTTATGCACAAGCTGGGCTTGCAAGTTGGTTTTCTTTTTGCTAATAACACTTCTAAATTTAGTTTCTTGTGCCTGGTATGCCTGGAGGCGCAGCTTGTGCATTAATTTGGCTATCTCGCTATCTATTTGCGCACAGTGCTCCATAAAATTCTGATCTTCTGCAAAGGGTGCAAAGATTTGGACTAAAAAATGTTGAGGAAATGTGATGCGCGTTTGGTTGTCCACTGCTCGCTTTGCAGCGCTCAAGATCTGTGTCTTGATGTTTTGGTTAAAGTACTCCTTTTGTAGATTCTGCTGCTCCAGCTTGTGTATATGCTCCTCTAAATGATCATTTTCAATCCCGAGCGCAGCGAGATGTAGTTTCAGGGTGTTTAGTTGCTTCTTGAGATCTAATTGCTGTCCCTTCAGCTCGCTATGTTTCTGCAGAGCAACATCATGTGCCGTGGGCTGTTGCAGCGGGTTAGCTGGAAGCGACTCCTCAGGCTTGGCCTGATCCTGTTGAGTGGCTGCCTCCAGGTTGCAATCGCTCATGTTTACACGTGTAATAATTTACTAAAGCTGTTGAATGAAGCGGCAGAGCCAACTGACAAGAGTTAAAATACTCTCAACTTACCATTGCAGGATCTGTAGTTGGTTGTGGATAGCTGATGATCCAGAGCACTGTCATAGAACGTGCTATCGCCAATATACGATTTGCTCTTCTGCTCCGGAGTACCCATTGTCGAGTCACTTGAAGTTGATGCTGATAAATCCATATGTGCACAATCGGTGGTTGTGTATATATATATATGGATATATATATTTATACAAATATGCGTGTGTGTGTGTGTGGGTGACGTAGAGCTGTGTGCACAGCTGGTGACTTGGAAGAATCGGTTACAGTTTAAAAATTCGGTTTCAGTTTGTTTTGCTGTCGCTTCACCCACGTATCTACGTATCTTTTGTATGTATATTATTTGTGTGTGTACGTTGGTCGGACATCAGTTGTTGTTGTGGTGAGTACCGTTTTCGGTAAATAACTGTAAGTTAGAAATTAATGAGAGAGAGTGAGATTAGCTGAGAGGTACCAATAGATAATTCCAGGCGACCTCCTATCACGAACTTAAAATTTCAAAGATTCTGCGTACGTGTACATGTTTCTTGATGCTAAATACACAGCCTAGTGTCCTTACAAGTCAGTATGTGACATATATAGAGTAAAAACAACAAAACTATATTCAGTTACTCAAATTAACTAAGGTATTCAACACATTATTTTGATTGTTTTGCTTTCGTCAGCTACTTATACAAGTACTTTATACTTGAATATATGTATGTGTGTATGTATGTATGCACCTAATGCATTTACTTACCTGAACGTTGTATATTGATGCGCACAGACCTTTAATTGACGTAAAACTTTTGCAGCTGCGTGTATTTCGGCCTACTTTTGTTTAGCATTTGATAGTTTTTGTAATTTCTTGTGTTGTTTGTAACGGAAAACCCAAAAAACTAAAGAATGAAATTGTGATTGTGGCAAACTGAGCTAGAGCGTTCGCTTCTTCTTGCTAGCGTGCACCAGTGCTGCCTATAAAATCAGAATGAGTCGCGCACACAATATAAAGGTGTATGATATGTTTGTTGGCACATGATGCTTTTTAAAGGTATTTCTTACATTAATATAAGCCAATTTTATTTACGCCAAATCTTGGGCCTATTTTTCAAGTCAAGCATTTATACCAAATTAACAAATTTATTGCATGATGTCAGCGGCTTGACAAACAATTTTTTAATTTTACTTTATCGCATTATGGCAACACTGTACACAAACAGCTGTTCGCCGCGTTTTGTAGGCATTTTGCTGTTGAAAAAATTTTAAATTGAATTTTAGTTTATAAACAATGTCAGACGACGTAGAGGAGCCAAGCAAGGTGATATTAAAAATAAAAATTGTACATTTTGAACTAATGTGAAATGAAAATGAATTTATATATTTTGCGGGGCAGAGCTTCTTCATATTTGGCCGCGATGTGGCGCAGATACCGTGCTTTCGTAACAGTTTTTTGTATGGCATCAGCGGCGGCATAGGCATCGGTGTTTTAGCCTTTTTAGGCACCTCCCGCCCCCATTTGGCCACACACATTGGTTTTGGCACCTTCTTTTGTGGCACAATGGTCTATTGGATGGCATGCAGGTGAGTTGTCATTGCTACTGGGATTGGTTCTGAGCGCGCTACAGTCTTATCAAATGCTTTACGACAGGTATCAGTGGTCGGTGCGGCGCTTTGAGCAGCAACAACTGCGGGAGGCAATGCGCCGGCAGGCCTTGTACGAGGGCACAACAGTAGAACGTGACTTGGATATTAAATCTGCGTAACACTGAATCAACCTATGGATACATATATAAATACGACGAAACAGTGTTAACCTTTAGATACATTAAGAAAAATTGTAGCTGAATCATTTTTATATGTACAAATTTGCATATGTTAACATATGTAAATGTCTGTTAGATTCCTAACATTGAGATACTTTGTTTATATACATACATGTATTTAAACCACCTTAGAGCAATAAGCTAAACTTGTGACATATTTAAGTGCAAAATACAAATGTGTATTGGCTGTCTCATATTTAAAAAAAATCTGAGGCATATATACATGTATGTTAGTTTAAGAGCAATAAATTATGTAAATTTGTTTAATGAATTGCCCAACTGATATAGTTAAAACACCTGCAACTTGCTGTTATAGGGAATATTGTTAGTAGTTGTTATTGCCTCTGTTAATTACATTATATTTGCCGCCTTTTACAAGGAACATTTATGCGCCTAATTACTTTTAAACGAGCTACCTATCAGGTAGATGATAACCACTCGCTTGTGCAATATAATTTGATGAAACCTCTCCATTCATATGAGACACAATCTCGACCCTGTTAAGTGGTGTCGTTCGGTTCTAATCTCGGAATTGCCGCGCCTCACAGTCAGAACGAATTCGTTACTTGCTCGAGCAGGTCGTGTCTGTGAGTGTGTGGGAACTGGGCAATTAGTTCTCGTCTTAATTTTGCGCCCAGAACGATTATATATCTATAAAAGCAACTAATAACTTTTAAAATACGCACAGTTATTTCCTGTACAATGTCAAAGACTGCAACAACATCAACATCTGTTTTAGTGTTTTTTGTAAACGGAAAAAAGGTAAAACTAAAAAAAAAAACTGGTTTAAGCAACAATATACTTTGATTGTTTTTCTCGTCGACATACAAACAAATTTGGAAAAAAAAGAATTTCATCAATTTCGATTTGAAATTCAACGACACTTTTTTTAATTGCATTCCAATGCCAGTTATTGAAGGCATGTTTCTCATGCAATTGAGCAGATCGAGCGTTATTTTGTATTAAATTGATTGCGATTGTGTTGCTGATAACAATTGACCCACAATATGGGGTCATTGTTTTTTCTAAGAGGGGGGCATCGTCACAGCTTATCAACTTGTTATAAAATTCCTTTTAAAAAAAACATATGCAATTGCGCGTGTTTCAGCAATAATAAAGATATGAACTTTATATGGTATATCCAAGTATTTTGGCTTCTCTGTTGCTATATCCTAAATTAAACTATAATTCATTTAAAAACTTATGAGATTAGATTATTTTATGCATTTTTATTTTAAAACAAAACATGCGATTAGATAATAGCCTTCATCAACGTTAAACGGGTAAATAGGCTCATATTAATAAATACAAATCCCTGAACTACGAACTTTATCTGTATTTGGCTAGGTGTCGTAAATAGGCTTTAGCAAGAAAAACAATGTATATACTATATGCAATATGCATCTATTATGATAATAGTACTAAGCAGAAATGCAATCAATTCGCGCGTGTTGTTTTTCCAGCGACTCGCCTGATAACAACAGATAGCAGAACATTTGAAAAGTTGAGGGCTGGAAACGATGTAACGTACAAAAACAAATTTAAATGCAAAAGTTTATTACTTTAACACGAGTTGTAATATATTTCATATTTTTGATTAATTGATTGGAACTTTTTAAATGGCTGTTGCAGAGCTTACTGAAGCTTTGCCCACGCTTCAGGTGTTGATTTTGCATATTTTGTTTATTTTTAATTTATATTTTTTAATATACATATATAATTTTTTGGTTTAAATTAACTCTGACTCTTTTGCCTATATAGTTTCTATGCATAATATTTGCATACGAGCCTATAAAGTCAATGTATATATATATTTATTTATTTTCAACGGAACGACCAACTGAGTTCCATGTTTGCCTGTTCCTCTATCTTTTAAAGCTACATATTTATGTTGATAAAACTTGGCACACTACATAAGTCGAAACCGGTTGGATAAGTTGAGAACTCTTGTGTGGTCAGTCGAAAATTATATAAGCAGTTGTTTTTATACCCTGCACCCATTAAATTGGTATAAAAAGGGTATAATGATACGCGTAACTAACAGCAGAAGGAATCGCTCTTCATAAATCATGATTAAATTATATATGATTGAACTAATTGTGATTAAATGTGATTACAACAGCTCTTATCTAGGTATAGGGTATCTCCTAGTCGGATACCCACGATTAGCGCACCCGATAACTTTTTTTTATTGATAAGTAACTGTTAAAAAGGCAATTTACAATCAAAGTTTTAAAATTAATAAATTACAATTTACCATTTTTACCCAGATTTAATGGGTTTAGGGTATAGAAAGCTCGCTGGTTCGATTCACGGTTCGAACTACGAAGCTCGCCTTAAGGTTTAACAATTATGAACCCAGGTTCTGGTTAGAACCCTAGTTGTAAAATATTATACGCGATTTTTATTATTATTTTTTTGTTCACATGTAGAAAAACACAAGTATGTACGTCCTTCTATGTATTTGAAATGTATAGGTAATTGATTCCAATCCTGATCCGGAATGCACGCTGCTCACCTACCTGCGCGAGAAGCTGCGCCTGTGCGGCACCAAGCTGGGCTGCGGCGAGGGCGGATGTGGTGCGTGCACCGTGATGATCTCCCGGCTGGAGCGTAGCAGCAAAAAGATTCACCATTTGGCAGTTAATGCCTGCCTGACGCCAGTGTGTGCCATGCATGGCTGCGCTGTGACCACTGTGGAGGGAATTGGTAGCACGCGGACACGTCTGCATCCGGCACAGGAGCGTCTGGCCAAGGCGCATGGCTCGCAGTGTGGCTTCTGCACGCCGGGCATTGTGATGTCCATGTATGCCCTGCTGCGTAATGCGGCACAGCCCTCGATGCGCGACCTGGAGGTGGCTTTTCAGGGTAACTTGTGCCGCTGCACCGGCTATCGCCCCATATTGGAGGGCTACAAGACATTCACCAAGGAGTTTGCCTGCGGCATGGGTGACAAGTGTTGTCGTGTAAATGGCAATGGTTGCGGAGAAGATGGCGCAGATGCGGCTAAAACTGATGACACGCTCTTCGAGCGCAGCGAATTCCAGCCCTTTGATCCCAGTCAAGAGCCCATCTTTCCGCCGGAGCTGCAGCTAACAGCGGCGTATGATGAGGAGAGCCTCATCTTTCGTTCGGATCGCGTTACCTGGCATCGACCGACCCAACTGCAGGAGCTGCTCCAACTGAAAGCTGACCATCCGGCTGCGAAGCTAATTGTGGGCAACACAGAGGTGGGTGTGGAGGTTAAATTCAAGCACTTCCTCTATCCCGTGCTCATCAATCCCACCAAAGTGCCCGAGCTCTTGGAGCTGCGTGAATCGGACAAAGGCATTTACTTTGGTGCAGCCGTCAGTCTCATGGAAATCGATGCATATCTGCGCAAGCGCATCGAGGAGCTGCCGGAGTCACAGACACGCTTCTTCCAGTGCGCCGTGGACATGCTGCACTATTTTGCCGGCAAACAGATACGCAATGTGGCCTGTTTGGGCGGGAACATCATGACCGGCAGTCCCATCTCCGATATGAATCCCGTGCTAACTGCGGCTGGTGCCCGCCTGGAGGTGGCCAGTCTTGTTGGGGGCAGGCGTTCGGTCCACATGGGCAGCGGCTTCTTTACTGGCTATCGACGCAATGTCATTCAACCGCACGAGATTCTGTTGGGCATACACTTCCAGAAGACCAAGCCGGATCAGCATGTCGTGGCATTCAAGCAGGCGCGCCGGCGTGACGATGACATAGCCATCGTGAATGCGGCCGTGAATGTCAGCTTTGAGCCCGGCTCCAATGTGGTGCAGCGCATACAAATGGCATTCGGTGGCATGGCACCCACCACGGTGCTGGCGCCACGCACGTCTGACCTCATGGTGGGCCAGTCGTGGAATCAAGCGCTGGTCGAGCGGGTGGCAGAAAGCCTATGCGCTGAGCTGCCCTTGGACGCCTCGGCGCCGGGCGGCATGATAGCCTATCGACGCGCCCTGGTGGTCAGCTTATTCTTCAAATCCTATTTGGCTATCAGCCGGAAGTTGTGCGATGCCGGCATTATGCCGCCGGATACTGTGCCCAAGGCGGAGCTAAGCGGCGCCGATAGCTTTCACACTCCTGTCTTGCGCAGCGCCCAGCTGTTTGAGCGTGTCGCCAGCGAACAACCCACCCAGGATCCGATTGGCAAGCCAAAGGTACATGCATCTGCCCTGAAGCAGGCCACTGGCGAGGCCATCTACACGGATGACATACCACGCATGGACGGCGAGCTATATTTGGGATTTGTGCTGAGCACCAAGGCACACGCGCGTATAATCAAGCTGGATGCCAGCGAGGCGTTGGCCTTGAACGGAGTACATGCCTTTTTCAGCGCCAATGATTTGACAGAGCACGAGAACGAGGTGGGCCCGGTATTCCATGATGAGCACGTCTTTGCCGCTGGCCAGGTGCATTGCTATGGCCAAATTGTCGGCGCTATAGCTGCCGAGAACCAAACGTTAGCCCAACGTGCCGCTCGGCTGGTGCGCGTGGAGTATGAGGAGCTGCAGCCAGTAATTGTCACCATCGAGCAGGCCATCGAACACCAGTCGTATTATCCCGACTATCCACGCTATGTAACCAAGGGCGATGTGGCGTCGGCCTTTGCCGAGGCGGATCATGTATACGAGGGTAGCTGTCGCATGGGCGGCCAGGAGCATTTTTATCTGGAGACCCATGCAGCGGTTGCTGTGATCCGCGACAGCGATGAACTGGAACTGTATTGCTCCACACAGCATCCATCGGAGGTGCAAAAGCTGGTGGCGCATGTTGTCAATCTGCCGGCCCATCGGGTTGTGTGCCGCGCCAAGCGTCTGGGCGGTGGTTTCGGTGGCAAGGAATCCCGTGGCCTTTCGGTGGCATTGCCCGTGGCCTTGGCTGCCTACCGCCTACGTCGTCCTGTTCGTTGCATGCTGGATCGTGATGAGGATATGCTCATCACCGGCACACGGCATCCGTTCCTCTTCAAATATAAAGTGGGCTTCAGCCGTGAGGGCCTTATCACGGCCTGTGAGATTGAGTGTTACAATAATGCCGGCTGGTCCATGGATTTGTCCTTTTCGGTGAGTTTTACATGGCATGTTTCTGCTTGGTATATATGCTCACTGGCAACATTTCTAAACAGGTCCTGGAGCGCGCCATGTATCACTTTGAAAACTGCTACCGCATTCCGAATGTACGTGTGGGCGGCTGGGTGTGCAAAACTAATCTGCCCTCGAATACGGCCTTTCGCGGCTTTGGAGGACCTCAGGGCATGTTCGCCGGCGAGCACATCATCAGGGATGTGGCCCGGATTGTTGGCCGGGATGTGCTGGACGTGATGCAGCTGAATTTCTACAAAACCGGCGACTATACACACTACAATCAGCAGCTAGAGCGTTTTCCCATCGAGCGCTGCTTTGCAGATTGCCTCCAGCAGTCGCGCTACCACCAGAAGCAAGCGGAGATAGCGCGCTTCAATCGGGAGCATCGCTGGCGCAAGCGTGGCATAGCACTGGTGCCCACCAAATATGGCATTTCCTTTGGCGTCATGCATTTGAATCAGGGTGGCGCTCTAATTAACATCTATGGGGATGGTTCGGTACTGTTGTCGCATGGCGGGGTGGAAATTGGACAGGGCTTGCATACCAAGATGCTACAGTGTGCTGCCCGAGCCCTGGGCATACCCATTGAGCTTATACACATCTCGGAGACGTCCACGGATAAGGTGCCCAATACCTCGCCCACGGCGGCCAGTGTTGGGTCCGATCTGAACGGCATGGCCGTGCTCGATGCTTGCGAGAAGATTAACAAGCGCCTGGCGCCAATTAAGCAGGCACTGCCCACGGGCACCTGGAAGGAGTGGATCAACAAGGCATATTTCGATCGTGTCAGCTTATCGGCAACGGGTTTTTATGCCATACCGAACATAGGCTATCATCCAGTAACAAATCCCAATGCGCGCACCTACAGCTACTATACAAATGGTGTGGGCGTGTCGGTTGTGGAGATTGACTGCCTGACGGGCGATCACCAGGTGCTCAGTACGGACATTGTCATGGACATTGGGTCGAGCATTAACCCAGCCATTGACATTGGTCAGATTGAAGGCGCCTTCATGCAGGGCTATGGGTTGTTCACACTCGAGGAGCTGATGTACTCGCCGCAGGGCATGCTCTACTCTCGCGGACCAGGCATGTACAAGCTGCCTGGTTTTGCAGATATACCCGGCGAGTTTAATGTTAGCCTGCTGACCGGCGCACCCAATCCACGCGCTGTTTATTCATCAAAGGTGAGGCATTTGGTAACCCTTTCGCTTATATATATACATATATTTACATCCCATTTATTCAACTTTCAGGCCGTTGGCGAACCTCCGCTTTTCATAGGCAGTTCAGCATTTTTTGCCATCAAAGAAGCCATTGCCGCGGCCCGCCTAGGGCAGGGCTTGAATCCCGATTTCAATCTGGAGGCGCCTGCCACCTCGGCACGCATACGCATGGCCTGCCAGGATCAATTCACTCAACTGGTAAGTCAGTTTCACTCAGCTGAATATAACTAATTCTTTATGCATTTCAGCTTGAAATGCCAGAGGCGGGCAGCTATACGCCCTGGAATATAGTGCCATAATAGCGGATAGTGCCCATATACATACATTTCTCATATAGAAATATTTAAATGTGTACAGTACAATGATTATAATTAATAATTACTTAGATTATATTTCTAATTGAATAGTTTTTATATAGTATCTAATGCTTCTTAAACACAATTCTCTCCACCCAGTCCAGGTAGGAAAACAACTTTGTGTAGACGCCTGGTGCATTAGGCGAGGCACAGAATTTGCCAAATGATGTAATGCCCACGACAAAGGCCACACAATTGTTTTCGGGCAATATGGCATGCAGCGGTCCGCCCGAGTCGCCCTGACATGTGTCTTTGCCGCCCGGCAAATAGCCAGCGCAAAACTGGGAATCAATGATCCCATTTGGCAGGCGTCGTTCCTTGCGATAGATTTGCTTGCAACGCTGTTGCTTTATCATGTCCAAATCTACCTGGCGCAACGTATTGGACTTGGCGCCTAGAAACTCAGTACGTCCCCAGCCAGTGGCCACCACCGACTGAATGTGCAGTTCAGGCATTTGCCACAAGCAGGCTGGACGCACGTGCTCCGACAGTTTGGCGCGTTTGGTCAACTTGAGTAGCGCTATGTCATGGTAGTAGGAAGACGATCGATACTTTGGATGCAGTATTATTATAAGTATTTTAATGTCTTGCTGCCAAGGACTGGTCACATTTAGTTGCTGTGCGCCCAGACGCACCATGTCTGGTGGTTTACTAAAATGAAAAAAAAAACAATGTAAGTCGGGTCTTCTGGGGCCTTGCCACTCACCTACCCGATGTGGCGCAGTGTGCCGCCGTGAGCACATAATTCTCACTGACCAGCGTCCCGCCGCAGCCCCATTTGATGTCACCATCGCTTTGCGTCCAACCCAGTGCAGTCATATGTGGAAAAAGGGCATGCAGTGTGGGCGTGCCACCCACTATCAACGGCACACTGGACACACACTGTTTGCCTGAGAAGCTGCGCCCAGTGTCGCCCAGACGCAGATCCCTGGTGGCGCTGTTGTACTCCTGGCATTCTACAAATTGACAGGCAAACAAAAATGAATTCTTTTTCTTACCAGTGTTGCCAACTGCCCTTCAAAATGTAGCTAAATTCAATTTAAAAATTGTCTAGAAATGGCTAAACTAGATTTCTGAGCGTAAATTAACAAGTAACAGGAATGCTACTACTTGCAAAAAAAATAGCTAAATAATATTAAAAAGGCTCTTAAAGTTACCAAATTCAGCTAGAAAATATCTAAATTGGCAACACTGGCTGTGACCAACTTACTTGTGGCGCTTATGCGCTGTGCCTGAACATGCTTGTCGGCCAATGGGCAACAAATGACCGGCACGTTGTTACGATGCGTGCAAACGTCAATACGTGTGCCGTGCACGCGATATTCGCGTATAACATGAAGGCACTGGTAAGCCAGGATGCAGTAGCCGCTGCGTCCATCAAAGCTGCGCCGGCAAAAGGCGCCCTCTTGTAGCGGTTTTGCCTCTCCAGACTGCAGCTCATCATCGTTGTCAAATTTAAAGGAGCTATCCGACGGTTCAGTTTGCTTTTCTCTCTTAGATGCGGCAGCGTCGGATGCAGCCGCCTCCTGCGGCCAAAGTTCTGGGAACGTATATTTTGTCGTTTGGTAATTGACTATCTCAAAGGCTGCTGAAAACTAAACATTTTAACAGGCATTAAGTATTCCATATATCCACTTCTATTACCACTCAACGCATGTGTTAGCACAAGAAATAACATGAATTCTAGGCTTATAATTGTTGACAAAATTGGCATTTCTGCATTTGTCGTTTCATTTGTTTTGATTCTTGTACATTTGTAAACATGTAAATAACGTAATCCAGCTGGTCAGCAAAAGCGCCATGTGGACAGTGCTGTAAAGCGCGACAAACTCCCAAACGGCACTCCAATCAGGAGCCAGTGTAAAGGGTTGCCATGCAGCTTTTTTATTAAATCGATAGGGCAGCCTCGGTGTTTTTCGAAAATTTCAATGGTCGGCAAAAGTAAAAAGAAACGAAATAGCAAAGACTCTACGTCGAGCAACGCGGGAAGTGGCGAAGGCGATGATAAGAAAAAGAAGGAAGGTGTTGGTGGCACTAAGAAAAAAGGTGGTGTGGGCAAGTCCATTGGCTGTGATATATTTAATGATGCCGCAATGGAGAATGCCTACTATGTGTGCCACAATGTGCAGGTGGGATAACAACAGAAATAAATAATCGACATTTAAATAATTGATGTTTTTGCAGGACGTGCTAAAAACTCGTGGATTTCCTTGGCCGGATGGACAAAAGAAGAAGAAAAAGGGCAAGCGTTGAAAAACACTTTCAAATATAAATATGATTCGAGTATGACTGTAGTGATTTATTAATAAAACTAACAACAATATGTTAAATTCATTCGATTGAGATTTTATACACGCTTTTCATCCACAAATACGTCTCAACTGCAAAATTGAAAAGCGCAAAAATATCCTTACCTGCGTTCCTATTTATACCAGTCTAAACCAAGTCGTCATCATCAATTTAGAACCAAAAACAATTTCTCCAAGCGCAGTCAACGCAACGCCAAACGTCAGCATCAACACTTTCTAGAACAAACGTCAAAATCTCCAAAATACGAAAACATATCAAAATTGTCGGCGTGTGAAAATTACAAATAACAAAAAAAAAAAACACACACACACAAATCACATTTAGACTCGTTTTGTAGAATTGCCAAAAAATCTTTGAAGGCGACTAGCGCAAAGATTGCACCATAAAAATCCGAGAGTCGTGCGGGCACACGATTCAGTTGGGCGGCATCTCTGGCAGTAAGCGGATCATTGTGACGTCATCGTCATCGTTAACGAAGCGCTTGGATCAGTGTTGGACAAAATATGGCAAAAGCACCGGCAATTGGCATCGATCTGGGCACCACCTATTCCTGCGTGGGTGTCTGGCAGAACAATAAAGTGGAAATTATTGCCAATGATCAGGGCAATCGCACAACGCCATCGTATGTGGCCTTTAATGAAACCGAACGCCTTATTGGCGATGCCGCTAAGAATCAGGTGAGTAACCGTTGTTCATGTTGCACTTGACATAATTGGCCAAATATGAGCATAGAGTATGTATATGGACGTGCGTGTGCGTACAGTGAAAGCTTTACTAATGTACAACAGGTCCACAGTCGCAATGTTTTTCATTGCTTTTTCGGAAAAAATAGACTTCCATTCGACGGATGTTTATTTGAGCAGATGCAGACACGAATTTTCTAAAATTGAACTTTGAATTAGCAAAACCCCTTTTTTGAAAATCTAAATTTAAAAAGTTATCAATCATTCAAATTATTTACCATTAACATGAAAAGCCATCCTTAGTTTTTGGTGTTCCTTTGACATATCGGTTAAGGGTCAGTCCCCATCTTTCATGTACTGCTCACGAGTTTTTACTGTATCTATGTATTGACTGTGTCTCTATAAGCAATTTAATTGAAGCACGTACATATCTACATATACGAAAGTTTTTATAAATATGTTTGCATATGTTTATAAATATGTGAAATTCAACAGAATATATGGGGAACATCCCAACAGTTGGCCTCTTAAAAATAGATATTTGGCTGACTAACTGCTTAACCACGCCCATATTCCCCATACGATTTCAGGTGGCGATGAATGCCAAGAATACGGTATTCGATGCGAAGCGTTTAATTGGACGCAAGTTCGATGACCGTAAGATACAGGAGGATCTGAAGCATTGGCCCTTCAAGGTGATCAACGATGGGGGCAAGCCAAAAATTGAGGTCGAGTTCAAAGGTGAACGTAAGCGTTTTGCCCCCGAGGAGGTCAGCTCTATGGTATTGACTAAGATGCGTGAAATCGCCGAGGTTTATCTGGGCGGCAAGGTGAAGGATGCGGTTATCACAGTGCCGGCATATTTCAATGATTCACAGCGTCAGGCCACTAAAGATGCCGGTTCCATAGCCGGTTTGAATGTGCTGCGCATCATCAACGAGCCGACGGCTGCCGCCCTAGCCTATGGCCTGGACAAGAACCTAAAGGGGGAGCGTAATGTGTTGATATTTGATTTGGGCGGCGGCACCTTTGATGTCTCCATACTGACCATCGATGAGGGTTCGCTGTTCGAGGTCAAGGCCACTGCGGGCGATACACATCTGGGCGGCGAGGACTTTGACAATCGGCTTGTCAATCACTTTGTGGAGGAGTTCAAGCGGAAGCACAAAAGCAACATAACCAGCAATGTGCGTGCTCTGCGCCGGCTGCGCACTGCCTGCGAGCGGGCCAAGCGAACGCTCTCCTCCAGCACGGAAGCCTCATTGGAGATTGATGCGCTGCATGAGGGCATTGATTTCTATTCAAAGATATCGCGTGCACGTTTCGAGGAGCTGAACATGGATCTTTTCCGCTCGACCATAGAGCCGGTGGAGCGTGCCTTGAACGATGCCAAAATGGACAAGAAGGCCATACACGATGTGGTCCTGGTGGGTGGCTCCACGCGCATACCGAAGATCCAGCGTCTGCTGCAGGACTTCTTTGGCGGCAAACAGCTTAATTTGTCCATTAATCCCGATGAGGCGGTGGCCTACGGCGCCGCCGTCCAAGCGGCCATACTCACAGGCGTGGGCAGCTCACAGATCCAGGATCTGCTGCTGGTCGATGTGGCGCCGCTATCGCTGGGCATTGAGACGGCCGGTGGTGTGATGACCAAACTGGTGGAGCGCAATGCACGCATTCCCTGCAAGCAGCAGCAGACGTTCACCACGTACAGTGACAACCAGAACGCGGTCACCATTCAGGTGTATGAGGGTGAGCGCGCCATGACCAAGGATAACAATCTGCTGGGCACATTCAATTTGACTGGCATTCCGCCAGCGCCGCGGGGCGTGCCCAAAATCGATGTGACCTTTGACCTGAATGCCGATGGCATTCTGAATGTCAGCGCTAAGGATAACAGCACAGGCAAGTCCGAGAAGATAACCATTACAAATGACAAGGGACGCCTGTCCAAGGCTGAAATTGATCGCATGCTCTCCGAGGCTGAGAAATACAAGGACGAGGACGATCGCCAGCGGGAGCGTGTCGTTGCACGCAACACACTCGAGGGCTACATCTATGGCTGCAAGCAGGCCGTGGATGAGGCGCCCGCCGGCGCTTTGGACGAGGCCGACAAGTCGAAGGTGCGGGACAAGTGCAGCAAAGAGACCGCCTGGCTGGACAGCAATACACTGGCCGAAAAGGAGGAATACGAGCATCACCTGAAGGAATGCCAGCGCGTCTGCAGTCCCATCATGTCCAAGCTACATGGCGGTGGTCAGCCGCCCAAAGGAAAATCAGCCGCCGGCAGCAGCACCGGCCCCACCGTCGAAGAGGTGGACTGAGCGACTGGCCGTCACGAGCAACAATTGTATTGAATATGTATTTGGAATTTATGCAAATGTTACATTAAATAACAGTTCATTATGTACGCAGCCAGGTGGTGGTGGTGGTGTCACCTATATTCAGTCGTGTTTTAATGGTCGCACCGAGCAAGCGGGCTTTCGTGGAGCAGCTCAGCTGGCGCAGCTGCAATGAGCTGCTGCATCCGCACAGCTGTAGGCGTGCCGCCTGGCAGAATCTGTGTCGCTTTGCGTGGTCAAATGCCAAGTATTATTTGCCAGTGGCCATGCTGCAGCTGCTGAAGCAGGCGTTGTGTGGCGTCCCAGGGGAGCAGCTGCTCCGTGCTGCAGTGTGGTACCATGCACAGCTGGTGTTTGGTGGATTGGTCAATGGCTGCCTCATAGCCACATTCATGTGTATTCTGCGGTAGGATGATCATAGTTTTTTCACTTGAACAGCCCCCATCTAATTCCTCTCGTGCGTGCAGCCAGCTGCTGGGCGAGTTCCGGCCGCACACGCTGCTCTTTGTGCCGGCCATGTTGGGTGGCGCTTTTATTGCCCTGGTGCCCGGACGCGTGAAGCAACTGCAGCACACTGCCATCTTTCAAGCTGTGAGTGGGTCATTGGGAGTGAACTCAGAGTGCTTTATCCAATCCTTTCAGTTAATCGAAAGCCTGCTGGTGCAGCGCGCCAATCCTCTGACCAAACTGGTGGCCACATCTCGTTGCCTGCAAACGCTGCTCTTCATGGGTTGCAGCGCTATCATTATGCTGGGCAAGCAGCGCTGCTGGCACAATGGCTTCTGGTTTCTGATGCCCGATTGCCTGCGCCCGGAGACCCTGTTAGACAGCACTCGATATGTTGTTCAGGGCATGCGTAAATATTTGCTCATTGGCCTCGCCCTGGACATCTTCAAGGCAGTGACGGGCTGCGCGAAAACGGGTCACTGGCACTTGAAGCAGTTGCGACTGGAAACTATGACTTGGCTGGGCTGCTACGTGGGCATCTATCGGGTAATACAGCTAAATTTATATTGAGATTTTATAAAAGGGTATATAGGATTTATCAGCAATGCAGTATACAAGAGGTAGAAGGATACGGCACCCCATTAAGAACGAAGTCGTTCTAACCGTGTTTTGTCTGTGTCCTCCGACCGTCCGTCTGTCTGATGACGCAGATGCTTTTAAATCAATATTTCGCTATCAATAAGTATCCATTTTTAGATAAGGATTTTAAAGCATTTCCTGAAGCTTATAACATTTAAAATTAGCAAATTAAGTATAAAGGCACTCGTAAAGTATAGACAGATTCAGAATATTTCACTTCACCCGTTCCCATTCAATTTAAAAAATCAATATACATATTGTTAATTGTTTTCAAAAGAGTAGAAGTAAAGATTACTGGGTATCGCTTAGTCGTTCACCCTACCACTTAAGAGCACTTGTAATTAAAATGATAACCCATTGAAAATCGTAAAAAAGGGTATAATGTTTCGGAGCACATGTATGTAACAGGCAGAAGCAAGCATTTCTCACCCGATAATGTATATGTATTCCTGATCAGCATCGATAGCCGAGTCGACCTATCCATGTCCGTCTGTCATAGACAGAGAGCTAGGGACTAGCAATTTTAAATGTAGGTCCTCCTAGTGACTGCGCATATCGAGTTTATTTCCGATAATCGATAAGTTATCTCCGCTTCCAAGCGATCGATAAAAATCGACATCGAGTTTTGGTTTTCATAAGAGGGTTCAGGGTATTCCCTAGTCGGAAGCTTCCGACTAGAACCTCTTACTTGTCTTTTTTTAGATTACCCTATGCTCTATGCAGAGTCAAGCTGATGTCGGCCAAACACTACAGCAAATCTTGGCCAGCTTTCTGGCTGGCCTCAGCTATGTGTGCTGCCCAAAACTAACCATTCTGAGCTATGCCCTGCTGGAAGCGGGTCGCACGCTGTGGGGCAGGGTCAACAGCCAACGGCGGAGGGCACGTTTCGGCTATAGCGATCTACTGTATCCCCTGGCCCTGGCCTATCTAATACACACATATGCATTCCAACCGAAAAGGGTTAGCGCCTTGACGGGCATCATTATTGACAACACCACGGCCAATTAGTAAGTTCTTTTGAAGACTTTATCCTTTGCTGCCCTTATAGATTCCTTTTCTTTCAAACGGAAACAGTGCCGGCAACATTGGCAAACGACTGGAACAGCTGCAGCTGGCTGGAAGATGTGTCTGATTTTAATTATAACTGTAATTAGCTCGCTTTACATATATCTAAATATATTCATATATATATCAATGCATTTTAACTATGGCATTTGCATATTAACCTTCAATTTGAACCGCAGCGGTGGCTCGTGTAGTGCATTCTATACGCATTCAGGGCCTGCCTGGGAGTCAGTCGCAAAGGTAACGTCACCGCAAAATGGTTTCGCCCAGCAAGTTATGCGGGCATCCAATCAATCGCTTGCATTGTGGACACATTTTGCATAGCCTGCCGGATCAGAGCTGCACGGAGGCCCTGCTCTGGAATCTGTATCGCAATCATGTGTCCAGTGCCAAATATTACTTGCCAGTCTTGTTGGTTTGTCCACGCACAATCTTTCCCAAAGTCTAGAATACCCCATTCAATACTGTCTTATGCTTTGCTACAGTTTCCCTTAATCTTCAATTGGCGCCGGCAAACTAAACGGCGTCTGTGGGCTACAGTGAAGAACTATTTGGAAACGACGCATTTCGTCTCGGTAATAAACGCCTTCACAATCTACTTGCTATGCGTCTTTCGGCGACTAAACGGACGTTACGTTTACCTTTACACACCGTTTATACCCTGCTATCTGGCCTCGCAGGTGACCTGGTGGGCGCCACCCAAAGTGCTGCAGTTCTACGTGACGGGTGTCACGCATTCGGTAAGTGTGGGCTCAACCGTTTCGCATACTCTGTTCACAAAGTGATCAAAGGTATATTCGGCTCGTGCAATGTCCGACCTCGAATCTAGCCCACTAGTGGACGGGCAAATATGTAGAAATCCCACTGCGGGAGAGAGTCTCATCAAATATGCCAAGTAGATTACTCATGGTCCTCCTTGGACCATCAACCATCCACCAACTCATAAAAGGATTATTCTTCAACTGTTTTTGATGAACTCGTTAAATACTGATTTTGTCTAATCGATAATAGATTTGGAGGATACCCTGCTTCAAGGACTTATTGGACATTTTTGTTACTTGTCGGACTTGCTTTGATTATTTCTGTATTCCAGGCTATGGAGGCCGTACTACGTCAGCTGGATGTCAGCCTGGTGCACTCCCGGCCGGCCCAGACTCTGATATTCATGCTGTGCTCGATGGTTGTACTGCGGCAGCAACAGGCACATGGCTATTCTGGTTTCTGGTTCATCAAGCCGGCCCGGGTGCCGCTGGACTACAACGAGTGGTCCTCTGAGCGGCGTCTTAAGCAGGCCCTAATGGAATTACGCACCTATCTTGGCATTGGTTTGGTCTTAGATGTGTTAAATGCCGTACTGCGTATGGAACTTAAGAAGCTCAACTTCAAATCTACCGGTTTTATGCTAGGTTATGTGGCGTTATACAAAGTAGGATTGGCTGTACGTCAAATTTCGCTTATAATAATACGCACTTCTTTTGATTCAAGCTAGTACAATGTGTGCTGGCGGGCAGATTGGAGTTAAGGTACACCAATTTGCTGGCGGCGTTCCTAAGTGGCGGTTCCCTTGGCCTGTTCAATCGCAAACCCCTAAGCTTCATGTGCTTGGCCGTGGTCACTGCAATTCAAGTATTGTGGCAACAGCTGTGTTCAGTGGATGCCAACCACAATAGGCTGCTGGCTGATGTGCAGCGCATACCCTGGGCCAAACTGCTTATTCCACCCAACCTGGCATATTTGTTGCACAGCATGATCTTCCAGCGTCATGTTGTGAATGGTTTGGCCAAATCATTTATTAACAGCACGTGCGATAAAAAGTGAGTTATATTTTTTACACGTTTCTTTTCATATTTACATATTAAACTCAATTACTTCCATTTCAGCGTGCAACGTGTATACTCTTTCTTAAACATGCCTGTGGAAACAATAATGACCACAGTTTATGAATTACCTATCACCTCATTCTTATTTTAGCTGAAAGAAGAACAATAACAATTATCCCGGCTTTTTCTTAAACATACTGAGAAAAAGACGTTACAAAACGAATTTATAAAATTTCCGGCCTGCCAACTCGTTGTTAGAAATTGACTACGCGGCGTTGCCACGTTGTTGACAAACAAATGAAGCTAATTCCAACGGTTGTCCAATTGAAATAGTTTAAGCTTTTATGGGGAAAAATACGAAAGTGATCATCATTATATTCTACATTAATATTTAGTGGCCTTTAGACAAATCCATCACATGCTGACGCTAGACAACTGTACGTGATGAGAATAAAAAGTATTTAATTTGTTGTGCAACTTGGATAATAGAAGTAAATGGTTTGGATTCATTGATAACATATTACGAATCATTGGCTAGCCAAATATCTGAGGTGCAATCTCCACCCGGGTAGCGCATTTCATGTGGAAGGCTGGGTCCATATGGTTCCTTTCCAAAGTCGACAAAGAAATCCTCATTTAGGGCCATGCCACCGTTGACCACATCGATATCAATGAGGCACACATGTCCGCCGGCAGACACCATGCTTGGATAGAACTAGGGCAAACAAAAATAATAAAAATCTCACCAAACTGTTATTTAAAATCCTTGGGTCTGTGTGTACCTGTTTATCCCAAGGTGAATATAGAGAAGAGGATACATATAGGCGTTTACCATCCAGAGAGAGCTGCATCATCTGAGGTCCCCCTTCCAAGCGACGACCCTTAATGTAGCGTGGCGGTGGCCTCTCCTAAATCGAAAATAACATTGTAAGTCATAGCCAATATAATTGTCAGCCAATCTACAGTCAATTCTTTGTCCTCCTTTACGATCACGTTGGGTAGATCGTTGCATATGGCGCCTCCTAGCCAGACTCTAGAGATAAGTTTGGGTTCGTCTGGTTTGGTAATATCATATTGCCTAAGGTCACCATGTCGCCAGCAGTTGACATAAAGGAACCGATCATCCAACGATATTATTATATCTGAAATCATGCCACCCATTTCGGAGGCCGTGCCACTGCCAGTATCCACTAGCTTATTGGGAATATCAATTACTTTTTTCACATCGAACTCATCCGAGTTGCTTCTCTTCTTGAAATAAAACACCTTGGCATTTAGGCCACATCCAACATATCCATCCGGGCGTTTCGGATCGTGCAGGAAACGAACCTCCAATGGTGCAGCACCCTCCAGTCCCAGATCAACAGTTTGATATAGAGTTTGCGTCGACCATTTGTAAAAGTTTAGTCTGAAGCCATACTGCGTCTTGTCATTCAAATCTTCGTCTTTCCAACCACTAAAATATTGCACAATTTAAAATACATGGCGCCGGCCACACAAAACACTAATGACGAACCGTCGAAACTTATTGGGTGCACCCCATTCGGATGATACCATCACATCATAATAGGGCTGATACCAGAAATCATAGCCGCACAGCGCTTTACGATCTCCTTTCGTCCAGGTGCCAACGTAATTGAAATCGGAATCAAATAGAATAAAGTCGCCCTTTGCATAGCCCTGAGCATCGCCCATTACCGATATCATTATATTGCCATTGGCCAAGCAGTGGGTCGTATGGGGTGCGGTTACATTCTGGCTCTTCAATACGTCTCCGTCGATAATCTTGATTATTTCGGGCTTGCGTGGATCCGTTGCCACGTCGAGTACGTAAATGAAATCGGAATTCAATGATGGCAATATCAACCTATTTCTCTTCGGCACACTTTTTGCATCCTTGTCCACATAGTAGCAGCTGGAGCAGGCATTCCAGCCCGAATGGTGCAACTCGTTGCCCTTTCGGTTCGAAAAGGTGCGATGCACAATCTATAAATAAACAAAATGTGTTAAAAACAAACATGAAAGGCAAAAGTTGATTCCATTCATGGACTGTTTAATTTCTATCAATAACGATGATTTGAATACCTGACAATATGTGGGACTATCAGGGTCCACATCGATTGTGGACAGATAATCGCCATGCGGCTCATCCAAGTTGGGTTGAATTGTCACCGTATAAAGAAGCTTCTCCCGGGGTCCACTTCTCATGGCGTCCATCGGTGTCGCGTAACCGGGTCCATGGCAACAAGCTTAGCAATTATCCATATCAGTAGCGTTCATTATTACGTGGATTAATAGTTATCAGTAGAATAACAAATACGCCCAAATGCCTGACTTGAGCCTTACCTTTTTCCGACATTTTAGATTATTTTTCGCACGTTGTTCGTTGATCAAAGAACAGCAGAGCACTGGAACAGACGCGAATGAGTATTTGCCTAAATATATGTATATATTTGCAATCGGCCGGTTTTGAGCGAGCGCTTTCTACATACATATGTACATGTATGTGAATTCGTTCTCATCATGCTCTCTTAAAGATTCTCCTAGAGTCAATTACGTGTATAAATCAAGTGTAAGCTCATATGATTGCAGTGTTTTCATCAAACTTATCAGACACGCGCCTTACCCAAGAGAAATAACTTTGTTTACTTCTTATTAAAACAGAATATATATACATACACATACAAAAAGTGTGTATATAATAAATTCTCAAACATCATGATGATAGAACTGATGTTCGGCTCGTGTGATAACAAATAAATAAGTAAATTTGTATTTTTATTTTGTTTTTGTTATCAGTATATGTTTGATATAAGTATTGTGAATTATGGTTTTAATGTAATTTAACATCAACTTTTTTTTGTTTAACTCGGTTTTTTTTGTAATCTGTCTTAGGACAATCAACTAATTGCTTTTTTTTGAAAATAAAATAAAAAATCAAATAAAAGACGAAAAATTAAAAATTTTAAGTGAAAATTATGTTTTTAATACTTTTAATATTAGTTATTTAATAGTTATTCACATTTATTTAATTCGTGTTTTCGTGTAATCAGGGGCAGTCATGGCCAAAATAGCACGAGGTTCAATATAAGCACGATTCTTGCTCATCTTTAACATACGGCAACTGATGACAGTCTGGCAACTCCTCGTTGGACATCAGCTGTTCGCTGTTATTGTTCACGCACGCTTGTTGTTTAGTTCGCCGTTACAACATGCGTTTGTTATCACAAATACGCAACGCATCAACGCAGGCCGCGCGCCGACGCGTAGTTATTACAGGTAGCGGCGCCGTCACACCACTGGGCAATAATGTGGGCGAGTCGTGGCAACGTTTGCTGGCGGGAGATTCGGCTATTGCCAGACTGGGTGCGGACTTCAAAGGGCTGCCTTGTCAGGTGGCGGCACAAATACCGAGGGAACGCCTCCAGATAGACAAGCATCTGAGCAAGAGTGATATAAAGCTTATGAGTCCTGCAACACAATTAGCAATTATTGCAGCGGATGAGGCGCTGGCCGCAGCAAAGCTGAAGCCCAGCGAGTTGAGCGGCGAGCAGCGGGAACGTTTTGGCGTGTGCGTGGGCATGGGCATGTTCGATCTGGCGGAGGTCTATGGCGCTTTTCAGCAGCTGCAGCGTGGTTACAATCGTGTTAGTCCCTACTTTATTCCGCGCCTGCTGCCCAACATGGCCTGTGGACACGTTAGCATGCGTCATGGCTTGCAGGGACCCAACCATTCCGTCTCAACAGCGTGCGCAACCGGCGCCCATGCCATCGGGGATGCTCTGCGTTTTATACGCCACGGCGATGCTGACATAATGCTAGCCGGCAGTGGGGAGGCGTGTATAGACCCCCTATCAATTGCCGGGTTTTGTAGGTTACGCGCCCTCAGCACTGCGTTCAATGATAACCCGGCTGTGGCCTCGCGACCTTTTGATAAGGCGCGTGACGGATTTGTGATGGGTGAGGGCGCCGCAGTGCTGCTTCTTGAAGAGCTGGAGCATGCGCGTGCCCGTGGAGCACCCATATTGGCTGAGCTACTGGGCTATGGTCTGTCCGGGGATGCGCATCACATTACCTCGCCGAGCGAGGATGGTACTGGTGCCACGCTGGCCATGAAACGCGCCATTGCCGATGCTGGCATCGCGCCCCAGGATATTAGCTATGTCAATGCGCATGCCACATCAACGCCCACCGGCGATCGCATCGAGGCACATGCCATTGGGCGCGTATTTGGCGACCATATAGCCAAGGTGTTTGTGTCCTCCACCAAAGGCGCACATGGTCATCTGCTTGGTTCGTCGGGCAATCTGGAAGCGCTCTTTGTAGTGCACGCCTGCGCTGAAAACCAATTGCCGCCCTCGATAAACATTGATCAATTGGATGTGGATGTGAATGTCGTGACAAAGGCGTGCAAATGGTCAGAGGATCACTCACGGCGCATTGCGCTCAAGAATTCCTTTGGATTTGGTGGCACCAACGCCTCGCTCTGCATTGCCAGTTACACTGGGGAGTAATATTTCAATTTTACAAACATTGTTAAGCACTAATTGTTGCATGTGAATAAATAGTTTTTCTTTTTGAACAGTTTTTTTTAGGAAAAATTTTAAAACTTTATTTGGAAAACTTTTCGGTTTCGTGTCCCCATCCCAATCCGCCAAAAACCGTGCTGGTTTCTAGCGTTCTGCTCTGTAAAAATGTATATGCGTACTGTATTGTGTAATGCGCAGAGTTCGTACTATTGTATATATCTGCGTACATAATATGTTTTATACATATATATACAAATACATATATATTTATATTTATATATATATATATAGGTATGTGTATATGATGCATATAGCTCTGTTTGATTTGCTTCTGTTGCTTCGGTTTTTAAACTATGTGCCGCATGCTTTTTAGTTCTAATCAAATATTTGTTGTTCTGGTCGTTTTTTCTGACATTTGCTGCTATTGTTCGTTTTTTTGTTTTACTTAAATTGTTTAATTTAAAGAATTTTTATTTTACAAAATTACTTAAACTGTAAAGTTAAAAATACATAGATTGGCTTACAATTAGAATTTCTTTATAATCAATATATTTATAAATGTGGTTGCTCATTTTTTCATTTTTTTTTTTCGTTTTTTTTAATGCTGATCTACTTTAGATTTTACTTGTCATTTGCCAAATTGTTTGTTATGGTATCATTTATACTCAATACATTTATAAATGTATATAATGTTGTTTTGATTTATTTTTTATGTATTTATAGGCGTAAATAATATGCTATATTTGTGTTCGTGTTGTGTGTTGTCTATTAATTATCGCTTTGAAAGTGTTCATTTTCAATTTGTATATAAATTATGAAAATAAATTGTATTCGAAGTTATAAAATTTATCCCAATTACTGTACAATTTGTTGGTAGTTTTTCGCTTTAAGTTACAGCATATAATTAATTTTTTAAATAATCTTGCACGTCACATTTATTAACAAGGTTAGTTTCCAATTTTTGTTTCCATACTTAAAGCATTAAATCAATTTTCAAATATCTTTCGTCTATTATTTGCATATTCAAATTTTGAATGAAAAATATTTCAAAATTACAGAGGCCTTTGAATTTCAAATTTACGTATCTGGTTTTTAGCTAGTATGCAACAAACATTTGCTCAACAAAATTTAAAAAAAAAAAGTAAAGGAAAGATTTTCTTCGGAACCTGAAGGCGCATGGTAGCAAATACAATAGTTTAGACAAATTAAAATAAATGACATACATTGTGTACACACCATGCACATGTACAAATGTATGCTTATGAAAATTAGACAATGCAATAAAAATAATAATAATTAAGAATTATTAAAAAATGCCTTACATAACATAAACTAATATAGAAACAATGAACTTATTATTCCTTGAGTTTCTCATACATGTCCAAAAAAGCAGTGAAGTTAATTTTTGTGTACGGTATACTGAGATTTAAATAAAAATTGTAAAAATTATGTAAATTATGAATAAATATTTGATTTGTTTCGCGTTGTGTTTCCTATTGCTTTAGATCTTAACACTTATTATCTTACTATTTCTTTTGTTTTGTTTTGTTTTTAAAAAGACATCTATTTAAGCGCTAGTAAAGTGGTTTTTCTTGTTGCTGTCAGTTGTTGGTTTTCTGTTAGTGAAATGGTTTCCAACTTCATATGTATAGTGGATGCTGCAACAGTTGCCTACACTAGATGTATGTATATGTATGCGGGTCTGTATGTATTTTCTTTGTATGCATGCAGGGGATGTATGTATGTATGTACATGGCAAGCCACTAAAAGACAGAATCTGGGTCACACTAGTTTAGCAATGCATCCATTGTATATGGAAATGGCGGATGCTGCTGTTGCTGTTCGAATCTGTTGGCTGAATATGACAGCAACTTTGTCGCTGTTTTTGCTGCTGATGCTGTTGTATCTGCCGTAGACGGTCAGTCCAGTATAACGATTTGTGATTCAATAGGTTTGCTGCTCGGCTCGGGGGCCATTGACTTGATAGGCAGTGAGCGCCATGGTTTGCGCGCCGCACGACGCAGATCCACAGCTGAGAGTATTTTTCGTGTTTTTCTATGGACAAGAAAGTAGAGATTAGATATTGCTATTGTGCAACAACGATCGAATTGCGCTCACTTGTGTACATCTGTCGCTCTAAAGTAAACATCGTCCGGTGCATCCATCCAACTTATGACCTGCTTGCGTCCATTGCCGCCACGTGCCATTTGCGCAATCTTTTGCTTGCCATTAAGCTGCAAACAAATCAAATATAATAATAATTCGATTTTTACAATCGCATTTATGTTAGACCTACTTGATGTCTGGAGAGTGGCTGACCCGCTGCCGCCATCATCGCGGCAAACTGCTCCGGACTGGGGCAATGCGAGGGCATGGGATCCTTATTAGGGCGTTTGGCAGGCGGTCCACTGGGCACAATAGTCACTGTAGGTGCCAAAGCGTAAAATTATTAATGGATGACAGAATGAAATAACCTTTGACTTACCTTCGGTGCCATTGAGTTGCTGTTCCTCGTGCGCACGCTTGCGTATCGTAGACGTTGCTTGCGCTGGAATTATGGTTAGTTCTTTGTCAGCCGCAACTGGGACGGCGACCACATCGGGCGTTTTATTGGGCACACGCTCGTAGAGTAAACTGCCATCTGGCGCTTTGGGCGGCTTGGGGAATGAGACAACAATGGGCTGTGGCATTTTATCTTTGGGCGTTAGCACCAGCCATTCATGTGGACCGCTGCCAGGTGCGCCCAAACGATTGGCAATTTTTGTGACGCTGCCACGTTCCTTAGGCTTGAGCAAAAGCATCTTTTTGATATCCGCCTGCGATTTTCCGCTAATACGATTCGTAACTACAATTACAAAAGTAACACAAA